CCCATCATAATAAAAAAAGATCAAAAGTGGGCCGAAACCATTGCGCACTTTTTTCTATACAAAGTACTTTTTATTCAAAAAGCTAACGACTTCAACTAAGTATGGTGCACATTGACGTTAAAAACGTAAAAGCACACTGGTTAAAAATAAAAAAACGCGGAAAAGGTAATATGAGACCCCGCAAAACAATCGGATAATCGCCTTTAAAGTCGACCCTTCGTTTTTCGTACTTAAGTGATTTTATTCAGGAGAGGGATTTTGTCAAATCTCTAAATTTAGAGGAGGTGTATCAGTGGTAAGAGGCCACGATGGTGGAGCTCGCTGCGCTCGCAGACACAGCCACAGAGAATGACGCTGTGGTAGCTCACGATGAAAGCCCACAGTGACACTAGCGCTGGAAGTGGAGACGCCAGTGAAGACAGCGAGTGGGGCCCAGACTCAGAGGAAGAATGCTCATGCAGTAACGAGATCCAGACAAGCGACAGTGAAGTTGACGAAGATCCCAATACTGTGGCAACTAGCATCAATTTGAATGACGGTGGGCTTCGCGAGCTCGTCACTCGTCTTATTCAAGAGGATCCTTGCAACAAGAAGTGCTTGAAGGGGAAAGCCATGGAGTTGGAACAGTTTCTGTGCTCGCTATCGCAAATGACCAGCGGGGAGAAGAAGCAGAGCATCATAATGACGCTGGTAGTCCTAAAAAAAAAAAAGACGGATACCGTGCTGCGTCATCGGGATCATGGCCTACGTGAGCAATTTAACCTTTTTCTGTCATTGATCGGACAAGTGTGTCGAACGGCGTGGTGCAAGTGTTACGGGATATCGACTGCTACAGTTACACGCTACAGGAAGCGTATTAACGATGGCATTTTCTCAGTAAAAGCCCATGGCAATCTTCTCAACCAAAAAGCTAGTGCTGTAGATCTCCGCTGGTTGGTTTCGTGGTTCAAGAGATTCGCTGTTTCTGTGGGTGATGTCGTGTCAGTGCGAGTGCGACGTAAAGAAACGAAAGAAGGAGAGATCAAGATGTACTACAGTAACGCAGAGTACACACTTTTGCCGGCGTATTTTACGTGGGACCAATTGTACACTAAAATGCACAACTACGTGGAGGAGATAGCACTACGAGTCCGTGAACCAAGATCAAGCACGTTTCGCCAATACCTGACGAAGCTTTGTTCAACTATTCGAATTCGCTCTCCACGTTCCAACATGTGAGACGTTTGTACCATCTACTGGTCGCGGATGAAGAGTGGAGCTACAGTAACAGAGACCGAGGCTTTTGGTGAGCATACGACAGCGGCACGACGTATGCGGTAAGGATGGATGCTAGAATCAAATTGTTTTATGGACAGTATCGTGTGGATACTAACATCGTTTTGTTTTACAGGGAAGAATACAAGTCTGATCTTGCCTCAGCCGACGACACCCAGGCCGTGATTATCATTGATTTCAGTCAGAACCTTACATTGCCTAGTGTGAGCAACACACCGTCGCAGTGGTACTTCCTTTCGCTTCGGAACGTGAACATGTTTGGGGTATTCTACGCAAACAAGAACATCCAGTATAACTACGTGTACGACGAGAGTGTGGCTGGTAAAGGTGCCGATGAAGTTAATTCGATGCTGCACCATTTCATCAGCCAGATCGTCGTTCCTGCGGGGTTCCGAAAGCTCACCATTTACGCCGATAACTGTGGCGGACAGAACAAGAACAATTTTGTCGTGCGGATGCTGCTGACACTGGGCACATACGTCGCTTTTGGATGAAATCAATCTCAAGTTCTTTGTCAAAGGCCATTCAAAGAATGCTGTGGATCGAGGGTTTGATCACGTGCGAATGCACATTGCTCAAGCTGATGTGCGGACAATGGACCAGCTTCTCGGTGTTGTGAAAGAAGCATCTTCGTCGTCTGCTCCAGTGCACATTCCGAACCAAAACACAATTTTCAAGGTGTACCGCGACGCCATGGAGGAAGCATACAAGAAGCTGAAATACATTCAAAAGTACCAAATGTTTACGATGCGAGAGAGAGAAATCCTGGTAGAGTGCCGTAAGTGTCCAGACTCTGACCAAGTGACCCAGGATCTTCGCCGTGTGTACGACGGCATCACTACGGATGCTACTCGCGTACGCGTCCTACTAACAATGCACCTAGAGCCTTTGCAGAACCCTCCCCCAAATTCCGAGAAGATCCAGTCCTTCTACAATAAGGTCCGCCCATTTGTTCCGGAGGAGTTCCAAAATGATCCATTGTAACACCCGCCGAACGACGAGGATGAACGCAGAGCGAAGCAAATCCAGAAGGTTCGACAAGCCGCGGCTAAAAAGGAGAAGAGAGAGCGCGAAGCTGCCGCTGCAGCGGCGAAAATTGCAAAAGAGACTCCCAGAGTGACTGGGACCACTGGGGAGGCTATACAGACGGACGGACGTGATGACCAGGGAACTACCCCGGCTAGTAGTGAGGTTCCTGACGGGAAGTCCGCGCTGCGCTCCAAGAAACGCCCTCGCAAAGAAACCGGATAATCCTTTTGCAACTGTCAGGGCGAACGCAACTACGATACCCCAGCGACTACGATTCTCCAGCGTAGTTCAAAATGATTCTAGTATCCAAAATCTTTAAAAAAAAAAAAAAAAAAAAAGATACACATTCGAATTTTGAAAATTCAAACTTTCAGGTACAAATTTAGCACAGAAGGACAGTGAATTGAGCGCTATAAATAGCACCAATCGATTCCGTTTGAAATTTTGCACTAATCTGAATAAAAAATGAAATTTCTTCGGCGAGTCCGAGGCAACTTTTTCAATACCACTTTTCTCCGAAACTGCTGAATGGAATAATTATTTGAGACCCTCAAGAGATACGCAAATCGCACTTCAACAAATGGTTAATAACAAGCATTCTTTTGTTTTGCGGGGTCTCATATACTACTCGTAAGTTACCAGTGGTAGCGTTTTTCGGGTAAAATATGGTGGCAAGTAATGAAGCACTCATGTCAAGAGCGCTTGACATGATCCTAATTCCACTTCGCTGAGAAGAGCATTTTGCAGCGCTTGCATGGCGTTGCGCAGTTTTCTGCCGACCGACGACATGACGGCGTTCTCGACTTGTGCAAAATCTGATGGCAGCACTGAGAGGTCCGTGATCTTGGCTTGCAACTCATAGCGCGTTTGAACAGTGCAGCAGCGCAACGGATCTGACGACGATGGCGAAATTACTGTTAAGGCTGTGTCTTCAAACTGAAGTCCTCCAGTCGGGAAAAACCACGTCGATCTCCCGACGACTACAATGCTATTGTGCTCGTCGTAGCGGCGATAAATAACTACACCGTCGATGTTTTGAGGTCCATCACGAGATTTAGCGACACAATTCATTTCGAACGAGTAGGGATTAGTTTTGCGAATCTAGTGTCATGAAGCCAAAGCAATAGGTCAGTCTCCACCACACCATGAGAACCAGCAACGCACCACGTACCGAGTAGAAAGATGAGTCGACATCGGTACTAACAAAGCGCCAGAGTAGGTCTCCCGCGTTTTGCATCGAGCACGCCAATGGTGTGATGGTACTTACTTCGGCCACGTGATGCCCATTCGATGCGTTCATTTTATCTCGACTGTGGGAGATGATCGTGCAGTGCTTGTCGTCTATTGTCGGAAAAATCATTTCCGCATCCAGTCGCAGAGATTCCAAACCGCTAGCCAAATCTCCCAGAATGGCATCGCTGTAGTCGAGACGGGATGGAAAACGCTCTACAACAGGCTTCACCTGGAAAACAAAGTTGCGACCCTGGTAGCATAGGACATCAGTCTAATCACTCAACTAACACACATCCATTACCCGTACTTACCTCCAAAACACCACGCTTCCTAAGTATTTTTCGAATAGCCTCACCTGTCTTCTGTTGATTTGCCAATATGACTTTCAACTCGCGGTTTGTTCTCTCCGCTTGCTCACGTCCTTCGCACTCGATCGCCGCCAGACTTCGCCATCCATTACTACCTTCAATACCGGTAGTAGAGTCTGCCGCAATCGCCAGGTGTTCATGACGCCTTTGTTGGAGCTGAGCTAGCAGTTCGTTCAACCTCTGAGCTTCTTGCCGAAGCGTAAGCAGCTCGATTCTTTTACGCCGCTGTAGCCCCGTCGTGTACGGCACTGGTCCCTGTTTTCGCCTGTCTGGCTTCTTCGCCTTCTGCTGCGCAGACATGTGCTGCGGTTCCGGCGCCGTCCTCACCATCGCAACGTGTGAGGCGTCATCAATGCTGTCACTCTCACTTCCTAAGCTCTCAGTGGCGCTGGGATTGCTGTCACCGCTGTGCATGGTGTCCACGAACTCCATCACATCGCCAATTATTGTAGACGCGTCGTCCAGGGAAGCCTTGAAGGTGTTCATGTTGGTACACCAGACTATGATTAGCTGGTGTGACGAAATGTGGAAGAGACTTGGGATCTCTCAGAATTTGTACCAGTATCATATTTGAAATGCCCAAAACTGACCTCTCATTTAGAATTTCAGCTAATTTAAAAATTGCCTATAATTTGAAAACTCTACACGTCGTATCATAAAAAGCCACCATAAAAGCAAGCTACATCTGCAAAAAAAAAAAAAAAAGCGTCAACAAAGGTTAAAGCACGAGCCACACATCGTGTAACCAAAATTTGCCTAGAAGGTGTACCTCGAAGGTTTTGGTGAGTAAAACTGGTTTGCTTAAACGCATCATATCGAAATTTTAAAGTTACTTTCCGCACTTGAAAAAACCGCACATGCATTTAAGCTGCTTATTAATCATTTCAGTTTGATGCTCCACTAGTGTCAAATCTCACAATACGAGTTAACTTGGTATGCAGAGATCATCTCACTTTCCCACTGAGTCACTGACCGGGATGAAGACCAAGCCAACCGGCGATGGTTTGCCCTGCACCTCGCCCAAGTACAATGCGCACGTTTGCTTCCACTGCTCCACTGTGGCGCGATCTTCCATAAACGCGGAGAAATTCACCATGTTCGCCTCCGGGGTGTCCCAGGGGTTGTTGGTGTTGATGTCAGTGCGCACGCTGTTGGTCACCAACGACGTCTGCGCCTCCTCCGAAATGATCCAGTTCATGAACAGCTTCGCCGCGGCAGGGTGTCTGGCCTTCGACAATATGCCCATGCGCTGACCCCAGCTGAGGTACTCAGTGCCGTTCGTGACAAACGTGAGTTGCTACGCACACTGGAGCCAATGCCAATAGCTTTTTTCTCTCCCGAGACGAGGTCACGAGCAACATTCGTGCCGCGGTTGAAGCTGACATTCTGCTTGCAAGCTGAGTCACCCAGTCCCAGTTGTACTTTTCGACGTAGCGGGTGTCGATGTGCACACTCTGGTACTTACTTGCTGTAGTCGACAACGACAGTGAAATTGACTTTCGGAAAGCGCTTCTCAATTGCACCACGAAGGTTATCTTGTGAGGTAGGCGTCTCTCCACCATATACAGAACGAGATAGCCACCTTCAGCGATAGCGTCAGCGTAGTGGAGATCGATGGTCTTAGTCTCCTCACCGGACTTGGTATAGGCTACTACGTTGGAATTGAGCAGGATGAAGGCTACGACGAGCAGGGCAAAGAACTGCATTGCTGATGAATCGCAGGTGAATTTTGAACGACTTGGCGCTAAGGCAGCATATTTGAAAATGAATTTCTTTCTTGTTGATCTTGTTGGGTAGACTGAGGATAACTTCGCTAGGGTGATTCCTAGGGTGGTGCCATTGGTAAAAACGAAAAAAAAAGATAATTAAAGTGTAGAAAAGATTAAAAAAATATTAAGAAACGATCTTTTTTACATATTCCTTTTAGTGTTACCATCCAGAGTTTGGGCCGCAAGGCGTTGATCCGCCAAATAAAAAATAAAAATTCCATAATTACGGTACACATACACGTACACGTTGTCTGTACATGTACATTGACTTCAAAACAGTCATCAAAGCAGCGTGTGCATGTAAAATGCGTGGTACATTGTACATAGCACAACACGTTTCCAATTCCTACTGTGTATCTTGTACTGTATTCATTGCATATTGTTGTCATGGGCTTTCCGGCGTGAATACGAGCAAACTCAAATTATACTAAAGTACATAATGTACATGTATCTGATACTAGTATACAGTATATCCCTGCTTCAAGTAAGGCGTTCCAACCTGGAGACAGACGTCACGTCCAGCTGGGGTGCAACTTGCGAAATTCGCTAAGCGCGGACTGACCACTAAAGATTTGCTGGTGTAGGATCTGCTTTAAACAGACTCCTGCTTTTATATGTACATGTACTGTACTTTTTTGTTTGGAGGCCGCATATGATGCTGTCGGTACAACGTGTAATCCCATATCAATATCGTAAGCCACCATTTCCGTTGATCTGCCACGCAAGCTCCCTGTTTCCTTCAATTGGGTGCTGGCATGCCCAGTTACCATCGCCGATGGTCCATCGATCAGCTAGCGCTGTTTACCCAAACTCTGACTGCGTGATCCGGGATCAGTGATCCCCCGCTAGTTGCCAACTGTTTCAGACGAATTACATTACGGTAAGCTTATCCGGTTTCCCTCTTACGGTTAGACACTACATGTAGTAAATACGTGTAAGAGCTCATGAAGATCACCCGAGAGTACCACAACAACCCCGACGGATGACGGTACGATCGAGACACTGAGGTGGAGAATTCAGCACAATGGCGGTAGAGCTAAAGACGTTTACTCATGAGAAGCTTACTCCTTCAGCGCTAGCCCATTCATCGATCGGCCAGTTTATCAGGTCATTCCAAAACTTCCTTTCTCCAAATCAAGTGTCCACGGCCCCCTTCAATGCAGCATTTTACCCTGCTCCTTGCCATTTGTGCTTTTGTCTCCACTGGGGTCGTAGCCAAATCTGGCGAGGAGTCCAAGACTATTGACGAACTCTACGCTGAAGCTATTGCTGAAGGTGGCAACCTGATCCTGTATCACGGAGGTGACACACCTACGCAGCAAAATGGTCTTCACGATGCATTCACTCAGCGCTTCCCGGAAATCAACTTCACTGCCGTTGTTGACTACAGCAAGTACCACGACGTGCGCATCGACAACCAACTGGAGACCGACACACTGGTGCCTGACGTGGTGGCGCTCCAGACGCTACAGGACTTCACCCGCTGGGCCAAGAATGGTGACCTTCTCCCTTACAAGCCCGCCAATTTCTCAAAGATTCACGACTCTCTTAAGGACAAGAATGGCGCGTGGTTGGCGTACACCATCTTTACGTTCGGCTTCATCTACAACTCAACAGCACTCAACGGATTCGCACCGCCTGCTACTCCGGCGGATCTGACAAACCCGCAGTGGACGAACAAGATCGCCTCGTCCTACCCGCACGACGATGACGCTGTGCTTTTCCTATACACTCGCTACGTTGAGAAGTACGGATGGGACTGGGTGACTCAGCTTGCCCACCAGAATGTCAGCTTCAACCGTGGATCGAACGTCGCGGGTGAGCTTGTCAGCTCTGGGGAAAAGTTGATTGGTGTGGGTACGGGCGGTGGTGGCGTTCCGATCGTGTTTGTTGGAGGAAACGGTACGGACTATCTGAGCTGGGGTCAGCGAGTTGGTATTCTGTCCAAGGCCAAGCATCCTGCTGCTGCCAAGCTGTTCATGAACTGGGCTGTTTCCCAGGAAGCCCAGACGACAGTGGTGTTCAACAGTGTGCGGACGGATATCAACGCCAACAAGCCGTGGGATGTCCCGGAAGCGAACATGGCAGCTTTTCCGGAGTTCATGGAGGATCGTGCCAAGGTGGAGCAGTGGAAGCAGACATTTGCTCTGTACTTTGGCGAGGTGCAGGGAGAACCCAGCCCTGGAGTCCTTGGACTTCACCCTGGCCTCTAAACGGGTACATCATTTTTAGCAGTCGAAGTTTACGCGGTAGGACCCTGCATCATATGACAGCTGAAACGGGAACCCCAATACGATCTGCAAAGGCACGGCAAAGGCACGTGGTTCTCATTTCAACGTCTTCATAATTCATAATATTCCTCGCGGTTTTCGTATGGTAGGTAGAACATGCACTCGTTATTCACGGGATCTTGAGCTACTGAGCCCCCGCCCCTCTGATGGGCCCTCCTCCCTGCAATCGCATGCTCTGACCAAAGAATATGGAAAGAAATGCACACACCCATGTGTTTTTGGGTTGGTGAGTTATGGCAAGCTTGTGCATCGTTCGTTGAGTCAACGACATTGACTCGACTCAACATCTTGCAAAGCGCTCTCGTCAGTGGGTGGAGTAACGTCACTCTGCGGAAGCCACACGGAAGCCATACAAAACTCTACTTTGTTTGTGACAAAGGGAATCGGCACCGACAACAGATCATCAGATTGCCACGCTCCTTTTGCTCACGCAAATGCACTCGAAAAACCAGACGATGGCCGCCATCATGGCGAGCTTCGTTAGTTCGCGAGATCCACCTGCAGATCTACATGGCTGATCAGCCCCTTGTTCAACGAATGCACGTTGATACTTGTACAAGAATACAAAAGACCCTTTAAAGTGCGCACTCGTAAGTACTATCGTGAGACTCATCTTGAGATAGAAACCACTCCATGGGAGCACGTTGCTCACCACCAGTGGTGGTGGCGGTCATTTGTCATTTTCAGTTTTGCACCCCGTTAATCACACCGGTGCCAAACCTTCACCACCGCAATGAAGCTCTTCGCACCAATCACCGCTGCAATCGCCCTCCTTGCCGCTAGTGCTGACGCCGTCGAAGAAGAGACCAAAACGCTCAATGAGCTATACGAAGACGCTATCGCTGAAGGTGGCAAGCTCATTTTCTACCACGGCGGTGACCTTGCCAGCCAGCAGGACTCATTGAAAACTGCGTTTGAAAACGCTTTCCCCGGAATCAACCTGACAATGGTGGTGGACTACAGCAAGTACCACGACGTACGCATTGACAACCAGCTCGATACCGACACGCTTGTGCCGGACATCACAGCATTGCAGACTGTGCAGAACTTCCCTCGTTGGGCTAGCGCGGGCGACCTGCTTGAGTATAAGCCGGCCAACTTTTCCAAGATCTACGACGGCCTTAAGGACGAAAACGGTGCCTGGTTCGCGTACGGTGTGAACTCTTTCAGCTTCATCTACGACTCGAGTAACCTCGGCGACCTGGACGCCCCCACGTCTCCGGCTGACCTGGTTGACCCACAGTGGGCTGGCAAGATTGCCTCGTCGTACCCTCACGACGACGACGCTGTCTTATTCGTCTACAGTCTGTATGTGGAACAATACGGCTGGGACTGGGTCACCGCTATGGCTAACCAGAGCATTAGCTTCAACCGCGGCTCACATGTGGCGAACAACCTCGTGGCCGCTCAAGACAAGGTCATCGGCGTGGGCACCTACGCTGGAGCCTCTCCGATCGTGTATGTGGGTAGCAATGGCACGGAGTATCTGACGTGGGGCCAGCGTCTTGCTATCCTGGCCAAGGCTAAAAACCCGGCGAGTGCCAAGCTCTTCATGAACTGGATCCTCTCAACGGAGGTGCAGGAGTCCGTCGTGATGGAGACAGTGCGTACAGATATTGCTCCAACTGGATCGAGCCATCCGTGGGAAATCCCAGAGGCTAACCTGGATGCCTTTCCTATTTTCATGGCTAACAGAACCAAGGTGGAGGCACTGAAGCAGACCTTTGCGCTTTACTTCGGTGAGGTGCAGGGTGAGCCGACACCAGGTTATCTTGGCGTCCACCCTGGTTTGTAAACGGGTTTAAGCGTTCGCGACAAGGAAATTAAAGATCCTACTGCATCGATTCTAAGTGGCAACGCCTAAACTACTAAATCGAGATCAAAGCCAGAAATCTAGAAATATGAATTCAACCGCATTTTACTCTAGACTACGACGATAAAAATCTTGATTGTCCCTCGAAAAATACCCACAGTGCAGTTACGCCGGAATCTTGTACTTAAGTAAAACCGATTTTGGTCATTAGTCTACCTGAAGTAACGGTAGTGATTTCCATCTAGGTCTAGGGGATAAATTGCATTCGAAATTGTGTGAGCTAACAAATTGCTAAAATAGTTAGCGGATAAACTCAAACAGGCATTTGGATCTTTGGTTAGCGATACAAAAGAAGTGTCCATCTTTGGAGTTCTGCAGGATGGTTCCAGCCCCTCTCATGTTTCAGAGCAAACAAGCAGAATATCTATCCATGAAGCTGTTCGCACTACCATCCAGCGCAATCATCCGAACAGTTGCCACGTTATCAAGAGATGCCCCTTAGTCTTAAATGAAGCCGTAAGAGTTGCTTCAGGTAAATCCTGAATGGATGTTGTCTTTTTGAACCCCGATCGAAAAATCACGCCAAATTGCATTGGGGGAATACGCGTACAAGACTAATAACCACCGTTAACTTCCTTGCTGCATGCTTGAACTCTGGCATTTTCTTACCATCTCTCTTAGAGAGATGTCCAAATAGAAAATCGAGTGGAACCTATTTTTATCGTGAATGTTGCACGAAGGAAAATGAGGTGGCCAATTTACCGATTTTTTTAAATTGGCAAAAAGAAATAGGTGCCGAACCAGTTTTTTTGGAGGTGGGGCGCAAAGGTCACAATGCTCTGCGATGTTGTAGCCTAAGTGGATTCCCTGACGTATATCGACGTATCCCGTGAGGAACGAGTCCGTCTTAGCCTGCGACGGAGCATTATAAAGAATTTGCCACTATATTGTTGTTTTGGGTCCACAGCGTGAACTACGTGTCATGTATAAAGGGCTACGTTGCGTTTCCTACTGCATAAACTCAGCAGCTAAACAGGAGGTCCGCTTAGAGGCCGGGGTGAAGTCCAAGGACCCCAGGACTGGGTTCCCCCTGCACTTCGCCGAAGTACAGTGCAAATGTTTGCTTCCACTGCTCAACCTTGGATCGGTCCTCCATGAAATCGGGGAAAGCTGCCATATTCGCTTCCGGGATGCTCCAAGGGTGGGTGGTGTTAATGTCGGCACGCACCGTCGTCGAAATCACCGTTTCCTGCACCTCCTTCGACACGGCCCAATTCATGAACAACTTTGCCGCGGCAGGATGCTTGGCTTTCGAAAGAATGCCAACTCGCTGGCCCCAGCTAAGGTAATCCGTACCATTGCCACCAACGAAGGTAATGGGATCGGCGCGGCCGCTTGAACCAACACCAATGACCTTTTCCCCTGCAGCGACCAAGTCGCTAGCGACATTCGAACCACGGTTGAAGTCGATGTTCTGCTGGGCCATCTTGGCCACCCAGTCCCATCCATACTTCTCCACATAGCGCGTGTACAGGAAGAGCACCGCGTCGTCGTCGTGGGGGTAAGATGACGCAATCTTACCAGCCCACTTCGGGTCTGTCAGATCAGCAGGCGTCGAAGGTGCTGCCGTCCCGTTGAGTGCACTTGAGTCATATACGAACCCAAAAGTGAAGATCGTGTATGCCATCCACGACCCACTTTCATCCTTGAGAGTTTCGTAGATCTCCGAGAACCCCTTAGGTTTATAAGGAAGAAGATCGCCAGTCTTGGTCCAGCGAGTAAAGTCCTGAAGCGTCTGCAGAGCTACTACATCGGGCACCAACGTGTCTGTCTCCAGTTGATTGTCAATGCGGACGTCGTGATATTTGCTGTAGTCGACGATCAGGGTGAAGTTAATCTCCGGGTACGCTGCCGCAAATGCGTTCTTGATGCGGTTTTGTTGTGTGGGAGTGTCACCTCCATGGTACATGATGAGGTTGCCCCCCTCAGCGATGGCATCGGCGTACAACTCATCGAGAGTCTTGGTCTCTTCTTCGACAGCAGCGACCGCGAAGCTGCACAATGTGGCAATGAGAGCGAAGATTTTCATATCCAATGGGGTTTGAGGCAAAGAGGAGATAGAGCTTTTGCTGCCGAAGTGGAAAGTTGGAAAATGAGGACGCACTCATGCTTTTCATCATCGACTCATCAATTCAAGACAGCAGTGGCGCTCACGGTCCGAATATGTTGCATCAACCATACCTGTACCTACAACTGTAAAGGGCTGGTTCGAAGACCGCTGCATACTACCACCACCTTACAGCGTGCATGCAAGGTACAGGTTTGCTGTCCGCATTGCAAACTTGAAACAAAGTCGAAAGGAGCCCAATTGGTGATCCTGCTACTGTACCTTGACGTCGGGCAATCGGTGCCGTCATAAATTCTAGTACTGTTCTTCTTTGAACGGCGTGAGAGCCGGGTAGATCGAGATCACGCAAGCCAGTGATACATGCAAGGATACCCAAACTAATCTCCTTAGCCACGGAAGACTCCATGCAGACAGTAAGAAGATGAAGGATACCCTTATTATAAAAGCGGTGCTCGAAAAGTGGCTCAGGTCATGTGCAGTAACTTCGGACCAGTCACTGGCCAAGAACAAACGAAGAGATCAATCGGGTTGAAAAACGTAAAAAAAATTGCGATTTCCACGTGAAGACAGATATCCCTACTGCGGACCCTGTAATGCACCGCAGAACCCTGTACATGATTGACAGTGTGCAAACGCTGGACAGACAGGGCCGCTCTCCTCTGCCAGCTGTCTGCACAGCTTGTGAAATTCACCAGACGTGCGTGGAGACATCGCTGGAGATTTGCAGACAGACTACGGCAAGCAAGCCTTCAACGCTTGTGCTTGGTCTAATACGGTGTTCACAACTCGTACGATCCCATATTCGACTGGACCATCACGTAAGCTGGAGAGAGCTGTCAAACGCCCAAAAGTCAAGGAGGGAGGCACGCTTCTTCAACGCCTTTATTCAACCGGGCATTGGAAAACCCAATTCCCGCCCGGAGTGTAGTGTACTGGTTGCGCGATCTCTGGTTCGGTCTCTGCGTTAGACAGGTCTGCAAGGAAGATTACCCTTGCTTTTTGTTACTAAACTTTGTCAGGATCGCTAGCGAGTGACCGCATGAGACGGTTGAAATGAAAATGTAAGTGAATGGTTCAGTCAAATGATCTGCAGTGCTTTCAAAACGCCAGAAGGCTTCCTTCCCAATTTGCCTTTACAGTATTCCAGGTATCTGTTTGTTAGTCGATCATTTTCACATTTGCCTTCTCTGGCTCAAGCAACACTAGTCTGCACTACGCAAAGAACATGTTCCTGGCGACCCCGCTCCTTGTGGCTTCGTCTCTCTTCTCTGTTGGCGCAGTAGCCAAATCTGGGGAGGAATTCAAAACCATCGATGACCTCTACGTCGACGCTCTCGCTGAAGGTGGTAATCTCGTCCTGTACCATGGTGGAGACACTCCTAATCGGCAAGATCGGCTCCGCGATGCTTTCATGGCTCGCTTTCCTGGGACCAACTTCACCGTCATTGTCGACTACAGCAAGTACCACGATGTTCGCATCGACAACCAACTGGAGACCGACACGTTGGTACCCGATGTGGTGGCTCTGCAGACGCTTCAGGACTTCCCTCGCTGGGCTAAGAACGCTGACCTCCTCTCTTACAAACCTGCCAACTTCTCCAAGATCCACGACTCTCTCAAGGATAACGACGGAACTTGGTTGGCTTACTCGATCTACTCGTTCAGCTTCATCTACAACATGAATGCACTTGGTGACCAAGCTGCTCCTGTCACTCCGGCTGATTTAGTGAACCCGCAGTGGGCTGGCAAGATCGCATCGTCTTACCCACATGATGACGATGCAGTGCTGTTCCTGTTCACTCGGTACGTGGAGAAATATGGTTGGTACTGGGCCACCCAAATGGCCCAGCAGAATGCCAGCTTTAACCGCGGTACAAATGTGGCGGGCGAACTTGTGACTTCGGGGGAGAAGCTTATTGGGGTGGGTACAAGCGGTGGTGGTGAGCCGATTAAGTTCGTGAACGGCAACGGCACCGAGTACCTCAGCTGGGGACAGCGTGTGGGCATCTTATCGAAAGCTAAGCACCCTGCTGCTGCCAAGTTGTTCATGAACTGGATTATCTCCGAGGAGGTCCAGACGTCGCTGGTGTCCTCTAGCGTGCGCACGGACATCAACATGGCTAATCCCTGGGAGATTCCGGAGGCCAACATGGCTGCCTTCCCCTTGTTCATGGAAGATCGCGCCAAGGTGGAGCAGTGGAAGCAGACGTTTGCGCTGTACTTCGGCGAGGTCCACGGCGAACCAAGCCCAGGAGTCCTCGGATTGCACCCTGGGCTGTGATTAACCATAGCTAAAGGTTCGCAATGTATTTCGACGTAGTGCACTACCTAGCTTGAAAAGGGTTTTGATAATTGCAACTTGCATCTGAATTACCACCAGATTAAAACAACTCCATCTTGACTCGAATTCCTTTTGCCCGATGTGTCGTACATTAGTACATACTAGTTTTATCTTGGAAGCAGGTATACAGGAGCCGTCAGTCATATGGGTGCATCTTCAAGTAAATGTAATGCGCCGGCTAACGTCTTGCCAAGACCTCGACGTGGATCCTTGATTTGTCTTGATTGGCGTATTGACCAGCGTAATCATCCTTTTACGCAAACGATACGCCACGTTATCAATATCTCCCTGTCTGTGTTCCACTATGAGCTTTTAGGCTAAAAGTTTTAGCGTTACTTCAGCTGAAGATGCATCGAGTTTACGCGGTCGCAACGATCCTTGCAGCTCTAATCACTACTGCGACAAGATTAAATCGAGTTCCAAGCTTTGTTGACCGCTTTCACAAGACCAATTATGCTGCGACGGTCAATCCTCATTCTTCAATTCACCGACGCCCACCCAAGTCACCAGCTCAACCAAAAGCACAGCGCAACATGAAACTCTTCGCACCAGCTCCACTGTCTGTTATGCCCTTCTCGCGTCCTCCAGTCTCGCCGTCCAGGAAGAAACCAAGACGCTCGACGAGCTCTACGCTGACGCCATCGCCGAAGGAGGCAACCTCGTTCTATGCCACGGCGGAGGCTTCTCGGAGCAGCAGGAAACGTTGCATGAAGCTTTCAGCAAGACCTTCCCGGAAATCAATTTCACGCTTATCGTGGACTACAGCAAGTACCACGACGTGCGCATCGACAACCAGCTCGAGAACGACAAGCTGGTGCCCGACATTGTGGCGCTGCAGACACTGACTTCCCTCGCTGGGCACAGGAGGGAAAGCTACTCGAGTACAAGCCCGCCAACTTCTCGCAGGTCTACGACGGCTTCCGCGATCAACGCGGAGCCTACATGGCCTACATGATGTTCACCTTCAGCTTCCTGTATGACGAGACGGCACTGGATGGTTTCACACCTCCCGAGTCACCGGCCGACCTCGTGGGCCCGCACTGGGCTGGCAAGATCGCCTCAACTTACCCCAACGACGATGACGCCGTGCTCTTCCTGTACACGCGTTATGTTGAGAAGTACGGCTGGAACTGGGTCGATGACCTCGCCAACCAGAACGTCACGTTCCGTCGAGGCTTCAACACTCCCAGCGGCCTCGTCACGGCCAAGGAGTAGGTCATCGGCGTCGGCACGTCCTCGCTAGATACACCCAACGTCACTTTCGTCACAGACGGCGACAATGAGTATCTGGCATGGGGTCAACGCATCGCCATCTTGAGCAAGGCCAAGCACCCTGCGGCCGCCAAGCTCTTCATGAACTGGGCCATCTCGGAGGAGGTGCAGAAGACTGTCGCGGCCGAGAACGTGCGTGTGGATCTTACGCCCAACAGTGCTCTAGCCACCCGTGGGAGATCTGCAAGGCTAACGTGGACGAGTTCCCGAAGTTCATGGCGGATCGCGCGACTGTGGGAGCAGTGGCGCCAGATGTTCACGCTGTACTTCGGTGAAGTGCCGAGTTTCCTTGGCCCGGGTCTGTAGAGGAATTACTGAATCGTGGAATAATTCCGCGAAGTGATTTCGTTTCCTAAACATGCTTACAAAGAACATTTTGAGCTTTGCATCTCATGTGATAAATCTTACCAAGTCGTCGTGGTTTGCTTTGTTGCCAGTTTGTTTGTGATAACTCTTCGCCGACACATTGCGAAGATGCTGGCTCATAAGTGTACACTGTTTCGGTCAGACTTACAACACATGATCCAGTTTTTTCCAGAGCGTTTCAATGTTAATCAGTGTAAAGCCATTCGTTCCTTTGCTTCTGCTTCTTGGCCTTCTTCTCCGCAGTTATTTTCTTCCAGTCGATGTTCTTGCGCTTTAACTGCTCCTTTCTGCGTCGTGCTTCTTCCCGGTTTTTCTCTAGCTCATTCATGTCGAAAAAGTGGCTCATTTGTCGCCCAGCACGGTCTGTCGCCATCCCTGCATTCTGCCAATATTCATCACCACCGAGTTGCTCATATTTGCCAGTAAGCCGATTGAACTTCGCTTGTGCGACGTAGTTCACACCTGAGACGGTTTTCTGACCAGGGCCAGTCGAGCTGGACACAGGAACTTCAGGAGGAATCCAATTCGCCAACTACACGCCATAATGGCCACAGCACAAACAGTTTCCAGGATATAAGCACACCACTCTCTCGTATATGAAAAAACTAAATGACCAAACGTACCCCCGACACAATAGGCGCGTCTGGCTTGGTCCACTGCGTCACTCCTGTGACCACATTGTGGTAGTAATATCGCTGTGTTTGCGCGTCGACATGCTGTTGCCACTCCGCTTTAGGTATTCGTGGATCATCATCACCCTCCCTATCCACTGTTGCTGGAGAAGGAGCGCTACTATCGATACCATTCAAAATGGCATTGAGCTTGCTGAGGTTGCCCGATGGGTCCAGCACTTGTTGCGTCACTCGTGCTAGTCGCTCCGTGCGCATCCGGTTAAGATGAGCCTGATACTCAGCCGAGACCTGGGGAGCCATGGGAACTGCTGACTCATCGAATTCATCAGGCTCCTCCCACTGCGTCTTCCCCGTGCTGGCATTGTAATAGTACGGATTGTTGCTGGCAGCGTCCACGTACTTCACCCACTGCGCAGCCTTAACAGCAGCAGTTATGTCCACTGAAACCTCCTTTGTCTCCTTCTTATTGTCACCTGTGGACGCCTCCTCTGTTTCGCCTTGAGGTTCCTGCTCTGGTGTCTCTGCCTCGTCTTGCTGCTCTTCGGGTTCCGTTGCTTTGTCCTGCTTCTCACTGTCTTGCCCAGGTACGAAGTCTTCTGGTTTCTCCCATCGACTGGTGCTGCTTACTTCGTCGTAATAGTAAGTGGCTCCCGATTCATCGTCCACGAACTCGCGCCACTTTGGGGTCTTGTCCTTGCTCATATCTTGTCCCTCTGGAGATCTAAAGCCAGCAGGGATCTCCCATGATGACTCGCCTGTGCGAGTGTTGTAGTAGTACGCGGAACTGGAGGCTTCGTCCACGTGCTTTTCCCACTCGGTGTCGTCGGCTGACGCGGTCGTCATAATTGATACTGCGTTCTAATTTAGAGCTTCTAAAAGCTTTGGTGGTCGAGATTGATTTGTTCAAGCCTAATTTTGAATTTGGATTAACTCATTCTAATCTGGAACACTTGAAGTGCACCGGATCGGTAGCAAGCAGCAGAGTGCAACAGGTAGAACTCCCACGTGCGTTTAAAGGACTCGGGAAGCGACGGCAAGTATTGCACCTGAGTTGTTTGGGTCATTGTCGTGGCTTGGCCAACTGCATTGGATGTTGCGTCATGGCCCCATTGCGCTTGGAATCGACGGTTCCACTCGAGAAATGTGCGTTCGTAGTGATCCGAGTACCCGAGCGTGTCTCGAAGCGTGAAGCCCGTCTCACCGGCTAGTCGACGCATGAGCGGCAGAGTAATAGCATAGCAAGGATATGAGCTGTGCACGTACTTGTTGGTCCAGGCATGGGTCGCCATGTGCGCGGCCGTGCAGGCGCTGAATTCCAGTAGCGTCGTGCCGTTCGCGGTCTGGATACGCTTCAGCGTTCGCAGGAATCGAGTGCGTTGCACATCCGGTACAGTCTCCATTACGCCACACAGCGTGATGCGGTCAAACTTCGATGCGCGGAAGCCGCTCAAAAGTGTCAGCAGCTTTTCAGGCGTCTCAGCGAGCACAAACTCCATTTGATCGAAGACGTCAAGTTCGCGGGCGAATTTCTTGGCGCGTGCGAATTCTTGAACCGACGACAGCACGGAGACAATGGTGGCATCAGGATGCTGCTGAGCTAGATAGCAGCCGACCCCTCCCCATGACCCGATGCTAATGTCCAAGATGGTATGGCCAGTCTAACGCACAAGAATTAGAAAGTGAGCTTAGACGGTAAAAAGCCATTTCTTCGTGTACTCACCCGAATGTCCAGCTGCTGATCCAAATTGGCAAGCTTGTTGGTCTGTGCATCGTCGATGGTTGTTGTCCCGGCTGTCCAAATACCAAAGCCCTGATGGAAATATCGGTCCATGTAGGCCAGTCGGAATTCGGGACAGAGATCAAACTGTTCCGATACAGCGCCAACAACGAGCCCCATAGATGACGGGGGATAGTTGAACAACCTCGCAGCCAGTGCCACAAAACGAGCGCTCCAGGATCGGTACATCTCTTGTCTGCCCTCCATCGGGATCGTAAGTAGGCTAGCGACAACGTCGTCCAGAGTGCGAGACGAGTTGGTCGCCCATAGACAGCCAACGTAGGACTCACCAATTGCTACAAGCCCTTCACTCATCCAATCCAGCCAGAACGAGTCGTCTCTGACAATAAAGTCCTGTACCAGAGTAAGTGACAAGCTCTCATGTGTAAATGTTTTTCGATGCCTGAGTGAACACCTACCAGATTGGGTCGAATACCACCGCTGGACAGCAAACGGCACATGATTGTCTTAGCATTCCTCCGTAATTTAGGCAGCGATAGTGAGCGGATCAACTGGAGACAAAACAGAATTGCTCCCGCGATCGCCGTAGCGACGTACACCCAAAACGACCTCTGCCACCAACATGACCACCAAACAACATCAAGCGCACAAGTATGATATTAGAAAAGGACTTTAGACACGTCCACCCAGCACTAAGACACGACAATGGTATCTAGTAGTCTGGGTAGAAACTTGGGGGCGTGTACGTTTCAATTTACTACCTGGTGTGCCAGCACGCAGAAGAGCGGGACAAGTAGGTTCAGCATGAGCTCCATCTTATACGCTGCATTCCAAAAGTGCTGCGAACGCGGCGGCGAGAAGCGATAGATGTGGTCAGCCTTGGGGAAAACTCCGCCGCCAACGACAAAGTGGCTCCACAGTCGCGATGATCTGCTCAAAACACAATGCCAAAACAGAAATTGTCAGCGTTAGAGTTCCACACCTAAGTCAAGAGCGTCAAACTTGTCCTACATTAACGCTGGAACGCTCATCCACACGCGGACGAGAGGGAGGTAGCATGAGACCAGTAGCATTGGCACAAGTAGGTGTAGCATGATGTCACCGACACGCGCCGCGAAGCCGAGTAATGGAGAGCTGGCCCAGACTCCGAGCCAGCCGTTGAGGATGGCCGTGAAGGCATAGCGGTCAAACACGCGCAAAGAGTACCAACCCACCATGATAGTGATGCCCATGGACGTGGCGATACCCAGCGCCGCCTCGGATGCCAACAGATGCGCGATCAAGGTGAATACGAACCAGCAATTGGTGTACATGGTGCGGATTCCAATGAGTGGAGGTAGCACAACTACACTGAAGAGCAACGCGATGGCCAGTGCAGCGTCAACTTGGCCGTGTGTCTGTACAGCATCGGGGTTGGCGCGGCTCAGCGTCCCCCAACCCAGCAGCGTGTCCATCGTGAGCTCTTTGCAAAGTGATTGCGAAATGGAAACTGAAGCGATCTGTTGATATCCTAAGACTCTTTAGTTTTAGTATTAACACTAAGGATATCACGAAAGCTATCGTTTCTGCGGCCATCTTCAAAAGATTGCGCGAGTTGGTTGCCTTGATGTCCTCGGGTGTGAAGGAACAGGGATTTTGCCAGACAGCACCTATGAACTCCGCGGGGATCTTTATTACAGAGTTTAAGGTGAGATTGCATGGATCATTTCTTTATGCTGTCTAGCTGCTGGCATGGCGAAGGCTGCGTGCTCCAACCTACAAGCTCGGTTTAAGCAAGCAATTGACGACGAACTCGTGAAAACCTGCTCGGTAAGCGAGCACGCAAAACGTCGGAACGGTAAAGTTGTAGATCAGCTCGATCTTCCGAACCGCCAGCCAGAAGGCCTTGGGGCGAGGAGGGTAGATGTGGTATACATCGTTGCCAGAAAGACAGAGGTCTCCGCCAGCGACCAGCTTGATCCAGAGTTGAGAGAAGCTGCTCGACATACACAATGTAAAAGAGTCAGAAAGGTCGAGGCTCGCAATCACGAAGCCAACCCGACGTACATTAAGATTGGAAGTGTCATCCAGACCCGCACGAGCGGCAGGTAGCAGAATGCGAGCGTGAGAGGTACACCCATGTGTAGCAGGAGGTCGACGGAGTTGGCGAGCAGTCGGAATGGCCAGTACTTGCTCAGGAGGCCGAACCAGCCCTGCAGGATGCCCATGAACGTGGCGCGGTCGAGCGTGCGCAGCGAGTACCATCCCATCATGATGGTGAGACCCAGTGACGTGGCCATGCCTAGCGCCGCCTCCGACTCGGTAACGTGTGCCACTACGGTGAAAGCCGCCCAGCAGAATGTGTAGAGAATCCGCACACGGACCAGAACAGGCAGCAGCGTCATGGCGAACAGCAGCACCACGGCCTGGGCAGCGTCTGGACTCAGTAGCGTTCCGGTAGTCGCACGCTGCTCGCCATCGCGCACTCGCAGCACCGTGCGGGTCAGCGTGTCATGCGCCACGCTGAAGAGCTCGGCGGCGTCCATGATGCTACTCAGGGGAATGATAAGATCAAAAATGACGTTGGCCTGCTTTTTTTGGAGACGAGTGCTGAGACCGCGGAACAGTTGCTTGCGCTAAGACCTACCGAGACGTTTGTTCCGCCATGATGATTCGAGTTCAGGACGCTAGCTTTACCTTTCCTAACTTACATTTATTAATATCACGTTTAGTTTTATCATCTCATTACATTAATGAACTCTTCCAAAACAGCATTAGAGCTTCTCACTTTCTATAATTCTGTGCTAATTTATGCTGTAGGAAATTGCAGAGAATTGTTAACTCTATCTCAAGTGTGCACGTTTTATGTGATATTGCGACTTTTCAACTTTTACACATCGTGGCGGTTTCAACGGTTTCAAAAAGGTGATGAGCCCCGTCAACTAATTCAAGCACAGGAGAACAAAAGGAAGCGATAAACCTCCGGTGGAAGCCATGCTATGCGTTGGCCACTTGCGGATCAACAAAGACAGCGTCGACAGAGACCACGGCATCCGGAACATCACCTGGGCTTCCTCTATTTAGACTTAAAGCACGAGTGAGAAAGTGATTCGCAAATGCATCTAAGCTTCAACCTGAATAAGGTTACTTTTAACGTTGCTGCTGTAGTTGCTCCAACGCATTTCTATTCGATTAGCAAGGGTTTTGCTTCGTGCTGTGGACTAACCTTCCACTTTTGTGGAGTTTTGTAAGCGTCCTCTCCATTGTAAAGGTAACGAGCGATTCACTTGAATTTCAAGAGGTAGATATCTGATTCAGCATTATTTACTGAAGAACAACCGCGCCGCTTCCTGGGCAGTACTGGTAAGTAAGTCCGACACGCCGCTCCACTGGACTAGCACGCAGCTGAGCGGGACTGTCAGGTTGCTCAAGATCACTTGCCACAGCCCAAATTGCAGTGAACGTGGCGGTGAGAAGTGGTAGATATCGTTGGCGATCAGCGCGCCGTCCGCGACAAAGTACACCCACAACACCGAGATGCTTCACGAATCGCACGAAGCACAGACACTTGGTTAGTGTCAATTGCAGCGGCTCAGCTTCGCCATCATTTCACGCACCCTAGTATCGTCAGCGCCATCCACACCTCGACGTAAGCCATGTACTTGGCGGTGAAGACTACTGGGCACATGAAGTGTAACAGGAAGTTGCCGGCATTCGCGAGGTCCCGGAAGACGTGGTACTTGCTTATGAAGCCGAACCAGCCCAGCAGCATGCTGTCAAACACGGATCGATCGAAGAATCTCAGCGCGTACCATGATAACATCACCGACAGCCCCATGACCATCGCGAGCCCCAGTGCCGTTGGGGACTCCATCTTGGTGGCGATGACGGTGAACACGTTCCACAGAAACGTGTACACGAGGCGGATACGGGCGAGCGTCGGCACAAGCACCACGGCCTGCAGTGTTACCAGGGCGTATGCAACATCAAGGTAGTCCTGCAGTTTCTCCATCGCGCCGGATTCAGAAATGCCAGTAACAATTGTGGAGCATACCCTGCAAGAACGGTATTCCATCATGCGAATTATGTCGTCGAGAGTGACCACCAGTGATGAAATCGGTCGGCTCAACGCATGCTCACAGATGTAAGGTAGGTGGGATAGATACACGCTATATTGATCTGGTTACGAGGGCTTCCACGTAGTAGATCCTGTGAGATTTTTCAAGAGGTATAAGTGATCCCGGGCACAGTCTTGCGGCTGTAGAGCACGACGTTCCTCGACCAGTTGGTCTTGCCCAATTGTGCCTTGTAGCGGAATCGGCCCGCAGCCAGCAGAAACGCATCAATCTTCTCCACGACGTCCGTACGCACCTTGATCTTGCGGAAGGACTGGGGTACCTCAACCCGCATGCGGGTCAACCGCTTCTGCGCGTTGCTGTTGTTGAAAATGATTCAAAGACAACGATACATTAGGATTAGGATCAAGAAAAGCATCACAAACTTTAAGTCACAACGAAACACAGAAAGTGCCACCTACCGATAGCATTTCCACGTCTGCGGCTCGATGATGAGGTGCTCGGTCATATCGCTAACCGTCTCGAGGAACTTCCATAGCCCGTCATCTCCATTATTCAAATGTATCCACATCGTCACGCTAAAGCAAGTGATGAGGTCAAACTTCCGGTCCGCTGTTAAACGCTGCGCCAGCTCCAAGAACGGTGCGATTTCCTTGCTAAACTTGCTCATCATGACATCAACGTGGCGAAACTGCACTGCGTCTTCCTCTGTCAATAGCACAGACTTCTTGGCAGCACGTTCAATCAGCACCTCGTCAATATCCACACCGAGAACCATGAGCGGCTTCCTCGTTGCCAGTTCCTCTTCCGTTAGTGAAAGTAGCTCCGGGACAACTTTTTTGTCGGAAGTCTCCTTTCCTGGCATCTTGCTGTCCGTACCATCCAATATGCGTAGAGCGACTTCGGCTGCTTTAGCCTTGGCTACTTTCTTCGATACGCCTTCGCCATGGCCCATCGTCTTGCCGTCGATCTGTAGCTCGCACACATAGCGTCGGCGGTGGCTGGTTTCGCCCTCGTCCTGGATCAAGTATTCCACCTGTTTCTTTTCCTTCTGCATGCGCTCATTGAGCGTGCTAATGTTTTTGAGGTCAAAGTTGGCCACATCGTCGATCTGATTGGCATCGACTAGAGTCGCACGTCCGTTCAATGCGTCGTAGAGGCCAATCGTCAGGTCACCTTCGTTGCAGCCAACGTCGAGCACGGTGCACGTCGCTTCACTCTTGTCCTTCTTCACAAGCAGCGCACGTCTCAGAGCATTGGCCGTCTGGACGTCCATAAACCGCAAACGTTCGTGCACCGGGTTGAAGCTATAGTACGCATGGAAGTTGCCCAGCACGTGTCCTTCTGCATCCGAAGCCATCTTGGTCGAAATGTTTGATTGGCATCTGCGCTGCAAAAACAAGATAAGTTTTCGGCCAATAGTGATGCGTTTTGACAGGTTTTTAACCAATTGCTATTGCGGTGACCTCTTGTAAACATGCTGGGCAGACAAGTGCTGCGGGCAGTGCCGTGCTTGTCGGCGAGCACGAGGCGCTTCGCGGCCTCGGCATCGCAGGCCAAGACCGGAGGATCAAGTGGCAATGAGAGCAATTTTTCCCGATACGCTGGTATGGCGTTCTTCGGCGCTGTGGTGCGTTTAAAGTTTCGATTGCGTGTCCAGAAAGAATGATTTGAATGATCGGTGTGGCTTGCAGACGGCGACGACCGCCTACCTGGGGACGTGGCAGGTGCGACAGCTACGCTGCTGATAGTATGGAGGTTATGCTTGCTGAACGTTCACTTCTTCCATGGGTATGCTTACAGACCCAGCGCTACTACTGGAAGGTGGATCTGATCAATGAACGCACGAAGGAGCTGTCCGAGTCTGTTGCAGAGCTGCCGAAGGACGCAACAGCCAGCGATGATATGTGAGATTGGCGTATTGATATTGGCATTTCGTACGAAGACTAATGTCGAATTCGGTTATTTGGATGGGCATGGTGAAGTGATGACATTGAATATCGTCAGCTTCGCCTTGAGGGTAACTTCAAGGTTGGAAGCACCTTCTACTTGTGTACGAGTCAATTGATCGAGATGCTGTATTCTTCCTTGGTTATCTGACACTACAGCATGACTGGATTCGGTAGATCCTCGCTCGGCCCCTGCGGATCCCAGTGATTCAGTGGCAAGAGTGAAATCCGGCGGCTACATTTATTCGCTGTTGCAGCGTGAGGATGGGTATGAAGTTTTATGTTTGTTAGCGGTGTGAATGTGTGTTAACCAAAAGCTCCTACGGATCTATCGCGTTGTGTAGGACGCCGGTAATCGTGAATCGAGGGTGGCTTCCGCGTAAGCTCCTTGATGAGCACATGACACGTGACAAGAAGGAGGAGGACGGCAAGGTGTCTTTTGTCGGCGTGCTTCGTCATGGTGAAGTGGTACGTACGCGTATCTTTGCTTTTTATCGGTGGCAATTCTAACGTTTTGATGTTTTGGCATGATGTAGAAAAACTATTTTACACCTGACAATGATCCCGAGAATCGCCAATTCTTCTACTTGGACCACGAAGAGCTGTCAAATGCCATGGGCGTCACCTCAACCGATTTGCCTGTCATTGTTGATGCCCTCGGTAGGTTCTACGCTCTTCTTACTCGTTGGTCACTCGTTCACCTAAACTATTCGTTCTGTGATATGTTCGCAGCGGTTGAGAATAAGGCTGGAGAAATTTCGCCAGACAACCCTCTCCGAAAGAGCATTGCTTCGTACCTCGAGTTCTACATGACTCCTGAGAAGCATGCTGGTTATGCCGCGACGTGGTAAGGTGGAGCTACAGAGTGATGAGTTGAGTGCCACAGACTAACCCTGTCGAAATAAATGTCCAGGTTTGGTTGCAGCATCGCGGCAGCAGTCATGGGCATTCTGCGTTTCAAGAAGGGGGGTGTCCGCGCTCGACGCGCTCCGAGATTCGAACACCGCTAAACAATCAGCAGATGTCCAGCAGTGTTTGCATTGCGGTGCTGACGTGGCTTTCGTCTACAGCTGCTCCGTCGCATACCTTAAGCTGGTACATTTTACCGCTATTTCTTTACAATTTGTCGATAAAAAATAGCTCCGGCTTCTTTACCGTAATTCCCATCGACCATGATAATTCAAAATGCAGCACGAGATCGATGACGAGGCGGACACGATGGAGGATGCAGTGGTGCTGCTGCTCATGCTGTTCGTGCTGGTAGTGGTATCCTTTGTGCTGGACCGGTATTCGTGTAATGTGGTGTCGCAAAGCGGCTTCGCGATGGTCTTCGGCCTCGTTGTGGGGCTATTCATGATCATGGGGGACAAACACACAGCACTGCACACGCATCTCGACCTGGACAACAGCCTGTTCTTCAATGTGTTGCTGCCACCAATCATCTACGAAGGAGGCTTCTCCATCAAGCGGCAGGCATTCTTCCGCAACTTCCCAGCTATCATGAGCACGGCTGTGGTTGGTACTGTCGTGGCTGCCACTATAACGGGCGGCGTGCTGTACCTCGCTGGGGCGTCGAAGATGGTGACGAGGCTCTCGTGGGTCGAGGCGCTGCTCTTCGGCACGCTAATTAATGCTGTGGATCCGGTGGCTACGTTGTCGTGCTTTAATAAGCTGCACGTCCCACCGCTCCTGTTCAACCTCGTGTTTGGAGAGAGTGTGATCAACAATGCCGTGGCAATTGCGCTGTACCAGACACTGCACAAATGGGACGTTGGCACCGATTTGAGTTGGAAGCAGTTGCTGCGAGTAGCAGTCAACACCAGTGGAATGTTTGTAGGCTCGCTGCTTGTGAGTGCAGCAATCACACTTTGCGGTGCCTTCTTGCTCAAGCGCAAGGTTTTCTCGTCGCTGCATTTCTTCCCCAGCTACGAGATCTGTTTGTGCTTGATTTTCAGCCTGCTGACATATTACGTGGCCGACAGTCTGAAGCTAAGTGGCATTGTTGCTCTGTTCTTCTCAGGAACCATGACAGCTCACTACCATTTCAACGTGCTCTCACGTGAAGCTCGACATGCGTTTACGCATCTGCTTCACACGATTTCGTTTGTGTGTGAGAACGTCGTGTATGTGTTCATGGGGACATCGGTGATAATGATCTTTTCCGGTCACCCAGAGAAGAGTTTGGGTGCTGCGCTTCGGGTAGACGACATCGACTGGCACTTCATTAGTCTTACACTGGTGGCATGCGTTGTGGCTCGCTTCTTCAATATCTTCCCGCTCCTAAAACTTTCCAACTGGTCGCGGGAGTCTTCCGACCGGATTCCAGTCAAGTACATGAGCGTGATATGGTTCGTTGCTCTTCGTGGCTCCATCGCATTCGCGCTCGCTAAGAACTGGAATTACATTGGTCGGTATGGTTCTCACCGCCATCTTATAGAATCTACCACGCTCGTCGTGGTGCTCTTTACGACAATTGTGATCGGTGGAATAACTGGTCCGCTCCTCTCCAAGCTGCGTCTCACCAACCACCATAGTGCATTGAGGCAATCTGAGCCTGAGCCAAACCCTGATGGAGAACCAAGCTCCGAGGAGGATCGAGCTCGAGTATTACAACGCAGTACCCGTCACTTCGTGCTTCGTCGGAATTCCAGGATCTCAGAGCAGCACGCCGCGCAAAGACCCTCAGAGGGAGCTACCACGCGAGAGCAAGAGACTGAGTTGGAAGAAGACCCCGTGTTCACATCACGACCGCAGTTTCGAGATGAGGACTACAGTGACGATGAGGGTGAGCGCAACGGAAACTCTACGACTCGGCGCGGCGAGACTCTGACAGGCGCGTTCATTCGAAACTGGCAGACCTTCGACACGACGTACATGCAGCCAATTTTCGGTGGTCACCAGTCCCCTGCAAACCCATTACCTGTCGACGAGGCGACCGATTCACACGGACAGGTTGACAAGATGCAGACGCAGAACGCCGTTTGATAGGAACAACTTCAACTTACTGGTTTTGTTGGTGTAACACACATATATTATGCATACTGAATCCAAGTGCTCAAATTCAGCAAATCGAACCAGTTTTCTGACTAGATGGGCATGTCGCATACCGCGACGGCCAATCGAAAGAAGCCAGAAGCTAAATCCCACCCAATTTGGGTCCGAAACACATCAAATTAGTCAGCATGGAGGACGCGGTGCTGCTCCTGCTCATGCTGTTCGTGCTGGTGATGGCGTCCTACATGCTGGGGCGCTACTCCTGTATGATCCTGTCCCAGAGCAGCTTCGCGCTCATGTTCGGCCTCTTCGTGGGGCTCTTTATGATCATGGGCGGTAAGCATGCGGCGCTGCACACACATCTGAACCTTGACAACAGTCTCTTCTTTAATGTGCTGCTGCCACCGATCATCTACGAAGGAGGGTTCTCGCTCAAGTGCGCGGTGTTCTTCAGGAACTTCCCGGCCATCATGAGTACAGCCGTGTTGGGCACCGTCATCGCGACGACGATTACGGGAGGCGTGCTGTACCTCGCAGGCTCTGCTGGCATTGTGACCAAGCTGTCGTGGGTCGAAGCTTTCCTGTTCGGTACGCTGATCAGTGCCGTCGACACGGTGGCAACGCTGAGCTGCTTTGACAAACTCAATGTGCCGCCGTTACTGTTTAATCTCGTGTTCGGAGAGAGTGTGATGAACGACGCCGTCGCGATTGCGCTATACCAGACGCTGCATAAGTGGGAACCGGACAGTAACTTCAGTGCCAAGCAACTGCTTCGTGTGGCGCTAAATACGGGCGGGATGTTTGTGGGATCTTTGATCGTAAGTACGCTTATTACGCTAGGCGGAGCTTTTCTCCTCAAGCGCAAGTTCTTCGCGACACTGCGCTACTACCCAAGTTATGAGATCTCGCTGTGCTTGATTTTCAGCTTGCTAACGTACTTCGTTGCGGACAGTTTGAAGCTGAGTGGTATTGTAGCACTGTTCTTCTCGGGTACCATGACGGCACACTACCATTTCAACACGTTGTCAAGGGAGGCGCAACATGCTTTTACGCACCTACTACACACGTTGGCATTTGTCTGCGAAAATATTGTGTATGTATTCATGGGCACATCAGTGATTATGATTTTCGCTGGACATGGTGAGGAGAATGCTGGTGCTTCACTTCGAGTGGACGATATCGATTGGTCTTTCATTGGCTTGACGCTTGTGGCCTGCATTGTTGCTCGCTTCTGCAACATTTTCCCGCTTCTGAGCCTCTGCAACTGCCTTCGCTCTCCTTCAAACCGAATTCCGGTTAAGTTCATGAGTGTCATCTGGATGGCAGGTCTTCGTGGCTCCATGGCCTTCGCTTTGGCTAAAAATTGGAATTACATCGGCCTTCATGGAGCGTCACACCGCCGACTCATTGAGTCTACGACTCTTGTGGTGATCCTCATCACTACGATCGTGATTGGTGGCCTAATGGGCCCGTTGCTGATGAACCTGCACCTCACCGGCAAATATAAAGACCACAGTCATCTGGAACAATCTGACACAGATAGAAGCTCTGCAACTGCTTCAGAATCTGAAGAGACTCTGTCTCGGTCAGCTGAACGCAGCACTCGCCACGCTGACGGTGAGGTACGTGGTGCCTTGGCGTTCCCGGAGGAAGAGCAGCCCAAAGAAAATCGTGATGGCACAGGAGACGAGGTCCCGATCCTGACTCCGCGGCCGCAGTTCCACGACGTTACGAGTGATGATGAGGACGACCCGAACCTTGCTTCTCCTGCTGCCGAAAGATCTCGTGGTAATTCGTTGACAAGTGCGTTTTTCCGCAACTGGCAAGCCTTCGATACCACCTACATGCAGCCAGTGTTTGGCAGGTCTTCACAACGACCAGCGGCGTCGACCTCCGTTGACGACCTGAGCGAGATGCGACTTGCTAAGGCTCAGGCAGAGGCGGCCGTGTGAATTAAGCATATAGCGTCGATAGGATTATCACCGTTGCATGTTGCAGTCAGGCAGCAAAAATGAATAGATACACTTTATCATGTTTCGCGGGGGTAAGCTGCCATGCGGATGCCATGCTGCAATTACCTAATCGGAGCGTCAGAGCAATGACACCGCCACTAGACGGCAACTGTGCCGAAACTGGCGCTGCTGTTGCTGCTCCTGCAATCCAAACACAGTTGACTGAAGGTGCACAAACTTCGGCACAGTCCAGTGAGCCGTCGGCGGTGGCTGCCACTCCAGAAATGTCCCTAGCAGAGAGCGAAGAAGAGGTCGACGAGATGGTCGAAGCGCTGGAAGATTTGATCCTGGAGGCTTATAACAACATGCAGATTGACGGAGAGTACATTTTCCTGCCGGACGAAGTAGCTGAGAAGCTCCATCGAGTTGCTGAGCAGGTGTGTGAACGTGGTGGGCGTCAGGAAGCTATTTATTATGCTGATTTGTTGGCTGTGCGTGCATCTAGATGGAGCCCCAAGAGAGTGGAGAGGAGGAGCAAACGGAGAACAACACAAGTGCTGGAGAGGATAGCAGCAGTGGAGATGCTACTGCTAGGAAGGCTGAAGATGCGGAGGAAAAGGTGCCGCAGCTTAAAGCCACAACAGATCGACCAGAACCCGAACAGGAAAAGGAACAGGAGAGTGAGAACAAACCAGAGCAGGAAATGGAAAAGGTTGGTGTACAGGAACAGCACACAGGTGAGGAAGAGGAGACAAGATTGCGCAAGGTGCAAGCGCTCCAGGCAGAGGCAGCGAAAGTGCGCGAAGAGAAGCACAAGCGCCAGATTCCTAGAGTGGAGTCATCGGAGAATATCTTTACGGAGCTCGCTCCCGTGCCGGAGATTGATGAAAGTGCCTCGAGCGGACCGCCATCGCCTTCACCACCGCATTCTCGCTCGCATAGTGGTGCCAATACGCCAAAACCGAGGGCGAATGCTCCAGCTAGCGGAATCGGGCACTTTCCTCCACCACCTCTTATTTCTTTGAGCTCCACACCGAGCAGTGTTGCTGCAAGTCCAGATCAAACAGGAAAATCTCCAGCGTCCATAACACCAGACCAGTCAGGCGGTAGCAAACGTAAGGGTAAGGTCCTTACTTACGAAAAGAGGAGGGAGGCCGCGCTCAAGCTGAAAGAAGATAAAAAGAAGCGTGAGCTACGTATCCGTGAGTCTGCTCGTAAACAGCGTGAGAATGCCAAACGACAGCTGGAGGAAGTGCACCAGCGAGAGATGGAGGAAAAACGTGAGCGTGTTCGCCGAATCCGAGAGGAGAGGCTTCATCGTCGTACAGGGAAACCAGCCACTACTAAAGGGACAAAAAAGGAGGGATAGTGAGGGAGTTTATAGGAATGTACACTGCTCGTTAAGTGGCAATCTGAGTCTTGTGGGTCAAATAACACTAGCCAACTACATCTTTAATCATCTCCAGGTTCAAAGCGGTGTTCGGCGTGCAGTCGAGCTAGCGTTTCTGGGTCCAAACCCTCCAGTAGTGATTGCATTCCACTCAGCGAGCAACTTAAGACTTCAGCTTCATGTTGCAGGTTTACCTTCTTCTTTTTAAGGAGTTTATGGCGTTCCTTGATTCTGTTAATATTCCGTTTGAGCTTGAGATTTCGCTTCTCGAGCTTGCTGTCGATAAAAGATCAGAAGAGGTAAGTAAAGGAGGAATCAGTTCGATGTTGTCAACATGCGCACGAACCTTGAATACCGATTCAGCTCACCAACACAGTAGTTTGCGTACTGACACGAGAGCTGTAGCAGAATCAATGCTTTTGCTATCTCGTCGTTGGGATATTTCGATCTATTAGCGCTAGCACTTGGGTGACATCTTGTAGTATTGTGACCGTAGAGCGTCCATGGCAGCAAGTCGTACAAAGTATCTATACGAAGCTGTTATCCTCGACAAGAACAACAGAAACATTTCCGTTACTTGTCATTCATATCCCCTGAGGAATCTGGCAAAAATTTACCTCATGTACGATTTTTCCGATGCGAACTGCACGAAGTTTTCCGCTTTTGACGAGAGAGTAACGAGGAATAACAAACTGAAACGGCGATTTCTGTGCGGGATGCGCTTCTTTTGCCTCCATCGTAGTATCTTGTTGCGGTAAATCCGAACTCTCGACGACTGGGTCTTCAACATCGGTAATATCCACGCATATGTAAGCTGCAGAACTCTGCAACTCTGTCTCATTTTCACACAGCTCTGGCCCCTTCGCCACTTCACTTGAAGTATCTTGGCTGCTCGCTTGGATCCCATACCATCGTTTTGCTCCACCGGACTGAATCCATTGAGCCAAGTCCACGTTCCACCCCATGACAAACTGCAGGAAATCTGTCGCTTTGGACCTACCAACCCACAGTTCAAAACTGATGATTCCCCTCTTATGGCCTTGCAGTTCCACCTCAAGCTCCTTCCAGCTTCCCTTGCGCAGCAGACATTTGTCCAACACCAGGCTGCTTTTGCTGCTCCTGCCACTCAGAAAAATTAGCACAATGCTCTCACTCCAGGCTGTAGATATACCCGGCACTTACGATTCTCCACTATGTTGCTCTTTAATCCTCAGCCACGGCCAACCGTCTTCTTTGTACCAATTCCCGCCCCCCGCGGCTCTCAGCTTTACCATCGCAATTATTGTATCTTGAAGCGTCGCCGACCACCGAGATCGCACTTAATGCTATCCGCGTTCTGGTCCAGCGAAGAAAGAGGCTTGTATTAAAATATGCACGGTACTGTCTTAACATCCTGGATTTGCATCTGTGCATACTGAAACCAAATCACCCAGCCCAGAAGCTTCTTCAGCCTCTTCACTTCCGTTTTTATTCTTTATTGTTGCAAGAGTGATGGTAGCGATCCGCGGCAAGAAGGCCAAGGCTACGGCTAAGCCCAAGGCAGCCAAGGCCAAGGTGTCCGCATCCAAGGAGGCCGAAGCCGTACCCGCGGCACGTCTCACGCCCCAGCAGAAGCTCGCACGCCACCGTGAAGAAGAATTTTTGGAGCTCATGCGCTTCGCACTGCAGAGTAACTTGGCACGAGGCGTCACAGAAGTCTCTGGCCAATCGATGAAGAGCGTCTGCAATACGCTGATCACGTCTCTCTGTGCACACGGCAAGGAGAAGGCTCTAGCACCGACACAGATCCTGGCGAAGCTCCCGCGTACGGAGCGCAAGCGTGTATGTGGTGCCATCTTTTCGGCCGACGAGATCGCCTACAGCTGCCGCAACTGCCAGCTTGATACGACATGCGTCATGTGCAAGGATTGCTTCACACACAGCGACCATGCGGGTCACGACGTGTACTTCCAGAGGACGACGGCCGGCAGCTCCTGTGACTGCGGAGATGTTCATGTAGGACTATTGAGATTTTATTATATTTTTGGACGATTGACCTTTTATTTATTTTTTAATTTGTAGGCTTGGAAGCAGAGTGGATTTTGTTCGAGGCATAAAGGAACAGAGACAGCGGAGACTGGAGCCAAGAAGCACAAGTTGCCTAAGCATATTGGACAAACGGCGCCTGTGGTGATCGATGCAGTGGTGGATCACATTTACCAGGTGTTACTAGGAACACACTATGGACTCGAGTTGGCTGAGGCTTTTGAGCTGTTTACGAGGGATATTCCGCCCAAGTTTCTGCCGATCCAGAGTGATACAGATGTGGCGGATGCTACTGAAAGCAGGACGAGTTCCTCAGCGGAGTTGACGCGATCTTCAAGACTTTCAGCGCAGTTTACTGCTGAGTCTGGATCCAGAGCTATTGGGCCGGGCGGCAGGCTTGAGGCGCAGGCAAACGAAGCTGAAGGCAAGTCTACAAGCTCTGACGACGACCCGAAGGCTGGAGTGCTTTTTGGAATTCGGCTGCACAATGACGACGTTCACTCGGTGAACGAAGTGACCAATCACCTTTACGTGGAGTTGGGCATGTCCAAGCCCCAAGCGCGTTCTGCTGTCAGCCAAGTAGATAACGAGGGTGATGCGCCTGTTTCAACCAAGCCGTTGCTGCAGTGTCCTGGTATTGTCGGAAATTTGATGCGTCGGTCTCTTAATATTTCTGTCGCTCCTACCTGGTGGGAGAAGCAAATGGAAGGTATCCCCGCTCTTCTGGAGTGGCTGCAGTCGATAAGTACCAGCTCCGATGGACTCAGCGAGCTCGTGTCTGAATCACTTCAGAAACAGCGGTCTCCTGCTCTTAGAGGATTTATGCCGGTATCAAGCAGCTTGGCTAAGGGCAAAACGATTCAGGAGTTTGTCAAGGAATGTAGCATTCGGCTACACAATCATGCTTTGGATGTGCTTAGTGGCTTGATCTCTGGAGACAAGGACGTTTGGACGTGGGCACGCGAACAAGAAGCAGACCAGCAACACCGTTTCGATTTCCATGTTGAAGGCAGCACAACCGCGGTGGCGTCTACCGGATTCCTCGCTGAAGGGAATAGCGTTAGTTGCAAGAACATATTTATTGAGGAGTTTGTCAAGGCAGTTTCGCTAAGTTCCTCGTATCGCCGCCACGAGAGTGTCCGGAAAAGTTTTGACGCTGTGGTAGCCAAGTATTTCACGTCGGAGCAAACGACTGCTTCCGGTACTTCGGCTAAAACTTTATCAGCTCTGATGCTGCTAATGCGATACGATTGCACTTTACGAAAGACTGCTGTCGAGCGCTCGCACTCACTTTTGCGCGAACACTTGGTAGATATCCAGTTTCGTGCTAGCATGCTGGAGGCATATTTGTTATCATACGCCTCGATGACCAGTATGTTCCTTCGTGGCTTGGGCAATTCCAGTGATTCCATCTTCGATTTCGCCGTGCAGTTCTTAACGGTACCTCATCTGGTTCAAAAGTACACGAAGAAGGAAGCGTCTGCGCACCCTGGACGGCTAGAGTTGATTCGTGAATTGCTGTATGCTCTCAACACGGTGTTTCAATCTGCTGTCGATGAAAAGGAAGGGAAGCTGAACGCTGACCACCCTGCTCTTAGCAGCCAGAAGTACAAGGTAAGTTTTGCCACTCCAGAGACTTAGTATCTTTCCTGAACTCTCACTTTCACACCTCCTGTTCGTTTTTTGCTTATGCTGCAGCATTGCGTGGAGAACATGGAATACGTTTTCAACATCGGCACTCTGTCCAACGAATTGGTGTGTAACGCAGACAACATGAAGATTTGGCTCTCATGCCTGAGTATTTTACAGGTAAGTTACAGAGCTGTTATCTTATGTTAAAAATGTACCACTAAGCGGCTTGTTCCGTGTTGTTGATCATAGGGTGGTGATCCTCAAGTGCGGCGAGGAATTCATCAAAATCACGTGGAATACGAATCAGATAGCTGGCTGTCGATGTTTAATCTTGGCATCCGTGTTCACTCGGTGTTCGCGATCTCCTGGAATGGTTTTAGTCCGTCCCAGTTTGAAGCACCTGAAGCGAAGATAGCGGAGATATTCGGCCCGATCATCGAGGCCACGTTTTCATCGTCAACCCGACTCAATGAAAAGGTGACGAAAAAGACGCTGGTTCCAGTTGCAAAACTTGTGTCTATGAGCAAGAGGGGTGCTGGAAGTCGAGAAAAAGGCATCATGGCGTACGACTTCAATGTAGCGGCTCAACCGACTTCTCTGCACATCCCTTTGCACCGTTTCCTGACCGCGGCAGTGCGGCATATCTGTATTAGCCAGTCAGGTTTAGGAAGCTCAATTCCTTCGGAAAAACTTTTGAGGGCGTTTGGGTTTGACAAGTTGTCAGCTGACAAGCAATGGGAACTTGTGGAAATGCCTCTTCGCTGTTTGGTGATGGCTTCCCAGATCCACTCGAACCTGTGGCGTCGAAATGGAGATGAAAATATGCTGGCGCAACTGTACAATTACTCGGCATTGCCATATTGCATCCACTACCGTGATGCAGACACGCTGATGCTGCAGCTTGGTGTCCTCATGACTGGTCCAGATGCCCTCGTGGTACGAATGGTTGATCGATTCCAATTGGGTAGCTACTTCATTCTACCCAATGGATCCAATGTGAATGGGCCCGACGATTTGGTGAAACAGTTCGGGTATGCAGAGCTGGAACAAGGGATCGATGAGCAACAACGTCTACAAATGCTAGAGGAGTTTCTACGTCTCGTGATCATACTCGGCACAAGTCTCCCAGGCGCTACTGGATCGGCCTACGACAATGAGTTCCTGGCGGAAGAGATGTTGCAGCAGTTGTGCTCGAAGTCACAATGTTTTAGCAAGCTGTTTGATCTTGCCATCCTGCCGTCAGGTCAAGATGATATTCCTGCTCCACGGCTGGAAAGCGTTCTTGCAAAGGTATCCAACTTTGTGCCGCCGTCGGGACTGGAACCTGGCCGGTATGAATTGAAGGAGGGTTTGCTGGAGAACTACAATCCGTACTTCCTTCACCTGAACCGCGAGGCACACGAGCTAGCACGTGATCGTTGGACAACCTATCGCAATACATGCCGTCAGAAGGCAAAGAAAGCGACCCCTGACGCTCCCCCGAAGGAACCGCTTAAGCCTGCCAAGCCTCCTGTTGACTTCTTTCGTCCAGTCCAAGCGATTCTGACGTGTGAAAGCACAGTTGCGATTGTGCAGGTAATTCTTTGGAAGGTAATGTCCTCGACGCACGCTGGATCGGCATCTACATCAGGCTCGGAGAACAGCGTCTCCGATGCTGTTATCTCGACCTGTTTGCACTTGTTGGTGCACGGCGTCCACACGGCGTCGCAAGCTTCAGACCGCCGCTTCTGGACACGCTTGAGCAAAACAAACGCTGCTACCTCCAAGCTGTCGGTTCTTCATCTTTTGAGTCAGCTGCTTGAGCAAGCGACAACATTGCTCGATAGTGAACAAACTGGAACAGTTGAATGGCTCATTTGGAAGATCACTACGGAATCACCAGCGTGCAGAAAAGTATTCGAGCAATTGTCGAATGAGGCCAAGTCGAAACATAAGAAGGCTGAGGCTTCTTCTGTGGCTACAAGTGGTTCGGGACAGAGTGGCAATTCTCCGCCTATGACGTTGGAGCAACGCAAACTAGAAGCTAGGAAGAGAGCGATGACTGCAATGGCAAAACGCCAGGCCGCATTCCAGGCGATGGTTGATCTCGCGGACGAAGACAAAGAAGAAAAGATGGATGAAGAAGGATCACATGATGCACGTTCGGCGTTGGGTAAGCGCAAGGCTTCGATTATTGAAGAGCCCCAAGAGGATACGAAGAAACTCCAAAAAGTGGATAACAAGCGCTGCTACAACTGCATTCTCTGTCATGACGGCTCGCAACAGGGTCAGATGGGCATGGCAGCCTACGTCCATCAGTCTACTGTGCTCGCCCCAGGTTTTAGACCAGAACCCAACGAGGCTCTCGGTTCAGAGGGTAAGAAGGTTCGTGGTCACGTGAAGAAGGTTATCGAGAAGATGGAATTGTGCTCAGGTGGCAGCTCGACCTCGTCCGATGTGTCAAACTCGCCGTCCCCAACCTTGCGTGCTTTTGCAACTTCTTTCCCGGAATGGTACATGAATGACTCACTGGAGGACCAGCTCACTCGTAACAACACGGCACAGAATAGCCCTCGTCCGCCTGCGGCTCGTCGCCCTCGCAATGATCGCATTCGCTTTGGAAATGGGAATATCCCGATGCTTGAAGGCGAGCTCTTGCAGACAGATGAAGAATTGGAGGTTCTTGAAGGCGTTCTCGACCTCCGCGAAGACCAACAACTCTTTCCGATGGACATGCGTGGGGCCGTGCGTTTGGATCTACGAGGAAATCAAGTAGAACCACGCCGATTGGGTGACCGAGAAATGGTTGGCGTGAGAGGCGGCAATGTGCGTGCTCAAGGAAGAACAATGCATGACAGCGATGATGAAGACTTTGAAGATCGTTTCCGCTTAGAACGCCTGCCGCCCGGATTTGGCCGTCCTCACGAGAGTGCCAAGCTCTATCTCACGCCTTGTGGACTGCATGTTCGTACATGTCAGCACGCAGTGCACATTAACTGTCTAGAACGCTACATCACGTCACTACATGACAAGGCTATGCGCGGTGAGGAGTTCGATGGCGTTCAAGCGATCGATCCGGATTCAGCGATGACGCAGTTCCTGTGTCCGCTGTGCAAGACATTGAGTAATTTCTTGATTCCAACGTCTGAGCCTCGAACCTCGATCAGAAAGGAAGAAGAGCGGGAGCAGCAGCGCTCTCTGGTGACGTCGCCGGATGAGGAAGAAAAGGCTCCCACCTGGGACAAGATCGTAGGAGACCAATTGTGGATGCCCGGCTGGTATCGCTCTGTGCTGGGACGCGATGGAGGATTTGAAGATGACGAAAACGATACAGAGCACGATATGTGGCGGGATTACTTCGAGGATACTCTTTGGGAGCCTCATGGAAGCTTGGAAAAGGGTGCTCCTTTCTTATGGGCTTCATGCGCGTATACATTGGCTTCATTTTTGACCGTTGCTGAAGATGAGCACCGAAATGTTTCTAAGAGCAATGCACCATTCGATCCACTGACGGACCAGTGTCCTCCGTCTCTCGAGAAGGAGCTGGAATCATTGACATCCGTGACAAAATTCTGCCGATGGACATGCTCACTTTTGGAGCACTGTGCTGATGCCAAGGTGATTTGGGAAACCGCTAAACGCTGTTGTCCGATCAATACCGAGACCAAGCGTGAGTACCGGAAGTTCACAAAGGTAAGGAACGCGCTACCTTGTGTTTATGTAATGTTTGACCCGCTGTTTGACCCGATGTTAACTTTTCTATCCTTGATTAGGTGCTTGGGTCGATCGATGCGTGCCTTCGGGGCACCATTTTGGGTCTCCTAGTAGCAGATACATTCACGGTACGTATAATATTTATTTGAAGAGGAGCTTGCCGCCAAGCCACTAATGACGTTGACATGTGTGTTGCTACAGGCTTTCGTGGTGGCCAGCGTGATTGCAGATGAGCTTGAAACGATTTGGCAATTCATGCCAGTGTTTACTGCTGCGGACTTGCTGCAGCGTCTGCATGCTGAGTTTTTCGAGCCGATTAAGATGGAGGGAACCTCGCTGTTTCAAGATAAGTTCTCGCTCGTTGCATCTAGTGAAAGTGAGGACTCTGAACAGCCAACAGCTGTGGAGGGAAGTGCCTCGACTTTGGCTCCACGCCGCACAAGAAGTGGCCGTGCTATCAGCCCTGCTGTGGCTACTCGGTCTTCTACGAACGCTGATGGGTCCATTCAGCAACTAATGGAAGTGATGGAAGCGTCTGGTGAAGCGGACTCCGAGGCGTTTGCTGCGCTCCAGCTTTTGCAGCGAATGGCCAAGACATATCCAACTGAGAAGCTTAAGCCATTCACCACGGTATCGGACGTCAAGGCGCGATTGCAACGCATCCTACCGTCCAACGCTTCGTTTGTTCGCCGTATGAAGCTCTTTTGGCGCTGCCTGGTGGAAGGAGAAACCAATGTACCAGCTACCAGAACGATGCAAATCCCCACATTAGTCGACATCGCTCGCAGTTCAGACGCGACGTTCGATCAAATTTGGCAGTGGTGCATGGATCGTATGCTCAGCAAGACCCACCTGGGTAGCTCGAAGGTCGGCGACAAGTGCGAACACACGGAAGGCTGCAGCGAAGCTTATGTTGCTAGCATGTTCATCCTACGCGAAGTTCCTACTCGACCTCGGCTGATCGACTTGCCGACTCAGTACGACGAATTGTATAGCGAGATGGCCGGCCGTAAGTGCACGCGATGTGAGAAGGCTCCTTGCGACCCGGGTCTATGTTTGATTTGTGGCGAGTATCTATGCTGTGGAGACTCGTGCTGTACACGTGCATTCATGCCTCATGGACCACCAGTAGGAGAATGCACTCGCCACGCTGCTGAATGTGGAGGCGGTGTAGGCATAATTCTTCTGCTTGAACAATGCCGCATTGCGATTATCGGAGGCAGCATGGCAGCGTACTTCCCAAGCCCGTACGTTGACGCCTACGGCGAAGAAGATATCGGACTTCAACGTGGACGCCCGCTTCGACTGGACATGGCTCGCTACCGATACCTGGAGTCGCTGTGGCTCAACCATCGTATCTTCACAGAGGTATCGCGTCAACGCAATCAACGAGACCCGCAGTATACGATCAATTTGTCGTATCTGTAAGCCGCTCTAGATCGCATTTCCAGGTCAACAGTTGTGCTCTTCTGAGTTACTACAGTATAAAGGTTCACGGAATTGTACCGGTATCAACAGCATGTCTTACTTGTCTTATGTGTTTGGATTCTAGCTACCCGAGGAAGGTGAGGTGTGCAGGCAGGTCGGCGTCGGCGTAGCGTTCGTCCTGGAAAAACATGCGAAGCAGACGACAATTGCCACCGACACGCACCTTTGTCGTGGTCACGTGGCGAGTCCCAAACGCTTGGCTCGTGAGATCTTGTAGATCCATGCAAAGATAGCGCCAACCAGGGTGTGTGCCAAACGCGAGAGGCAACTGGCATCTCGAGTCTTCAACCCGAGCAAGAGATCTCGTGTTGGTCACAGTGAACTGTCGATACTTTTGAGTATCGTCCAACACCTCGATGTGAAATTCCAGGAAGAGATCCATGTTCTTGACAAACATGACGAGGTAGCGAAAGATGTTGCGAACGGGAAACACCAGCTCAGCGTCATTGCCTAGTATCTGCACCACGTCTTCCTTGACGGTCTCGTCCTCGATTACGCAAACGTCGTTGCCACTCATGAGGATCCGACATTCCTCTTGAGCTTGTAGAATAGCTGGGTGCTCTCCAAGTGGCAGCACGACCGTCTCGGACATGAAACTCGTGTTGCTGCCCAAACTGCTTTTCTTTTTGTCGCCTGTTTCAGCTTGATGGTCCCTAGCGAGAACTTTAGGAAGGATGCAATCCACATACACGTCTCCTGGCGAGAACGATCCTCCTCCGATGCGAATGAACGAAGGTGTTCCCGACAGCGATGAAGAAAGTGTCGGCGGAGTAGACAAGGAGCTAGCTGTCTTCATGCTGATCTTTGTAAATGGATCAACGACTCTTCCAGCTTAAGAAGTATCAATAGGTCACACCTTTCCATACTTCCAACAAACGTGTTTGCTAGCAAAAATGGAGGTATCAGCTGCCCAAGTGTTCTTCCAAGCACACAAGGACCTCTTCCAGTACGAGAAGTACGTCGGCAACCAGGATCCTTTCCACATCGAATGTACGAAATCTTTCCTTGAACAGTATCGCGAAATCGATCGTGATCGACGACTAGTACCAGCGACTTCGGAACGCTTTTCACTGCTTTATCCTTCTACACGTAGATTTTCATCAGTAAACCTCACAGTAAACCCAGCACCTCCAGTACCAGAGTTCGTGACACTGCAGGCGACGGCATCAGTCCTCGAAAATTTGAATAATCCGCTGCATGAACCGACCCGCTCCCACACATTTACGAGTCCACCGCAACGCACCAGTCAATACAATCAGCCGCGACCTGGTTTACGAGTTAGTTACGACAGCTCAGCAGCACAATATCCCAACCCTGACCGTAGCTCCGTCCCCAAGGCCACACCGGATCGATCCGCTTTGCTTCAGCAACGATCACCCATTCGACTATCTACAGAGTCGAAGCAGAAAAATTCCACCCTGCCAAAGCTAACGGACCTGCTGATTGACCGAGAGACTCGTGCTGCCACTACACATAAAATCTGGGAGGAAACGCACAAAATCCAAGTCCTCACCGGAAACAACTGCGTCGGGCGTGTGAACGCTGCTTCTCGGAATCTCCCGCTGTCCATCCTCTCACGCCTGCATGCCTCTGCAAACGTGTCAGTGCGACGAGAGCGGTTATACAACTTGCTTCGGCGAGATTATGAGGAGCTCAGCAAGTAAGACGACGCACCGACAAGCGGCGACTTGGAACACTTCGACAGAGTTGAGGAGAGGGTTGATCATTGCATTGGAAAGAAGGCATCATCTGTCAGTCCTTCGAAGATATTTACGTTGCTGTCACCATATAATGCCGAGTCTGGTGACATGCTCATGGACCCCACTGGAAGCTGATTTTGTTGCTGGAAAGATTGAGGTGTGGGCTGGAACTGTTGGGTCGGAATGGCCTGCTGCATCATATTAGGTGCTGATGATGGTGCCATCCCCCCATATCCAAAATTGTTGGGCATCATCGACGCTCCTTGCGCTCCGAAGTTGATTCCGTTAATCGACCCCATCATCTGTTGTTGCTGCATAGGCATGTTTGGCATCCCAGTCATGGGGAATACCGTTGATCCGAAGCTTGTATCGGGGCCAAATCCAAGAGGAGTCATAAACGGATCCACGGAGAAGTTGTTACTGCTACTATTGTTGCCGTTGGCGCTGTTCGTTGACGTTGATGCCGAGGACATGCCGTAAGTGTTGTCGTACATATTCCCAGAAGATGTCAGGTTCATTGGCATCGGCATTGGCATGAACTGCTGTTGCTGGTTCATCATGCCGCCGCCCATCATATAGTTTTGCTGGTTCATAAATGAAGCGGACGAGCTCGGGGGTCCACTCGTGGAGGACATGTACGCGTTGGGCGTGAACGTCTGCACCCCAGAGCTCATGGCGTATCCTTGAGTCGACGTCGATACACCAGAGACAACCATCGAAGTGCTTGAAGTGAAGCCAGTTGAAGTCTGCATCGGGTTCATCTGTCCTGTTGGGAAAAACATACTCGAGCTTGTGGTTGCAAAGCCAACCGTGGGCATCGGAGGCTCCGGGAACATCGTTGGAGGCGTTGGTGCTGCCATATTTGGCATCGCCATGGACGCTGAAGTCGACGTCGCCATGGCCACCGGATTGCTATTAGACATCGTCTGGGGTGCGTAAACCTGCTGTGGCAAAGTAGGCTTCGGCTGCTGTAGAATCTGTGGGACGGCAGCGATAGGAGCTGCCAGCGTTGGGTTCTGTGCTGCTCCAGCTTGTCTTGATGCCGCTGCATTGGGCGATATCCGTCGTCCTCCAGTCTTCTCGTCTTCTTGGGCGATCTGCTTGTCCGCCAACGAGGCCAACACCTCGAGCCTGGCCCCAATCTGTTGGCGAAAGACCAGACATCTCCGCACCCACTCCTTGTGCTCTACAGGGTTCGCCTTAGCAGCTACAAGTGTAACAAATACATAAAATTTAGTATAATAGGATCACAGTGCATCAATATTCCGGCGCGTACGCTGCTGCTTGTGGAGCGCGTTCCAGCCTTTGAGCGCTGCCTCATTCTTCTCGAGCATAGCCTGAATCTCTCGCTGTGAGATGGAGCGTCCCGGGGCCAGTAGTGCCTGCAAATATAAGGCATAGTTACAAATGTAGGTTAGATAAAGTGTTGTGGTTGACTATTTCTTGGTGGATATTCTGTTTGGAAACGCACCTGTGCCGCGGCGGCTGCGCGTTGCTGCAGCGGGTTGACGTGCTCCCTGTTGGACGCAAGAAAGAGAGACACATGTAGATCGTGAGAGGGTGCTGAAGGCTGGACGGTGGAAGTGGGTGACGTCACGTACGGCGCCGAGGACGACGCCATGGCCGATAAAGGCGGCGGATAATATTGGCGCGAGTAGTCAAGTGGTGAATTAGCGAAAATAGTCTGGAATTAAGGGTACGAATTAACATTTGAATTCAAGCCGATAAGAGGATTTTACTTTAAGTGACAGCCAAAGCGGAGAGAAACCTAACCCTTTATTTCAAACTGAAGCTGGCGGTAGATAACAAACAGCTCAATCGTATCATCGTGGCTAAGAAACCATGATGAATCTTCGCTCTGCATGTGTGTCTGCGCCTGGCAAGGTGCTACTTGTTGGAGGGTACGTGGTGCTGGACGAGCAGTATTCGGGGCTCGTTCTCTCCAGCACTGCGAGGTTTTATTCTCAAGTGGAAGCCAAGGTACATTTTCGACAGTCGGATAAAAAAACGTGTCTATTGGTAAAGCACTAAGATCCATGTCGTATATTGCAGACTCTGGGTGATGAGGATGAAATTCCTGCTTCCTCAAGTGAATGGCGTCGACTGTTCTCGTTGGCTGTGGAGAGTAAGCAATTTGATCAGTTAATTGACGGTTGGATCGAGGAAAATGGCGGCGGACGATTCCGATTTCAGCTCAGGTGACGAAATCCAAAATTGTGGTGGCTAATTGGAAGGAGATTTTGACTGTGGTTTGTTGACAGGCAGAATTCGCATCGCAACTCGTACATCGAGGAGACAGTGCTATGTGCGGTGAATGGCATTGCCGGATTGGAGGAGTTCAAGAGCAATGATATGTTCCAACGGCTAAAAGGGATGAAGTTGGGTGTTCATGTTACGCTTCGGGGTGATAATGACTTCTACTCGCAAGTGCAGAGGGTGAGAGGAAACTTATTGTGAATATTTTTGATGGTGCTGACCCTGGTTTGGATGTGTAGTTGCAAGATGCCAAGTTGCCACTCCGTCGCGACAACTTGAGGGCACTCGAGGCATTCCTTCCTCCCACAATGGAAGGTAGGCTTGATTTGTTACCTAAAGATGCTAAGTATGTGAAAAAAAGAAGTGTCTTACCGTCGTGTTTAGAGCGTGGTGGCAAGCAGGTTGCTCTAAAGACAGGTATGGGGAGCTCTGCCGCTCTCGTGACGTCCCTGGTTGCGGCTCTTGCGGCATTTTTTGTGCCAAACATGAACTTCGATGAGAAGCAACAGCACCTTGAAGTGGTTCACAACCTTGCCCAGTTAAGTCACTGTTACGTGCAGCGCAAGGTACGATCGACAGATTATTTTCCAGATAGTATGGTCGAATAACTTGCACTAACTTTACAGATCGGAAGCGGTTTTGATGTCTCGGCGGCTTGCTTCGGTTCACAGCAGTATACGCGTTTCCCGGCATCAATTCTGAACGAATTCACGTCTGAAGATGCGATGAGACCCAATGAAATTGCGCGTTGCATTACGAACCATACGTTGTGGAACACTTCCAACCGCGTGGTATGTCAGTTTACGGACATTGATGCTGGTTCTTTTTATCGTTTCTTATTAAAATTTGTTGCATGTACCGGTAGAAACCTGTTCGCCTGCCTTCAAGCTTCCACTTACTGATGGGAGACGTGTCGTCTGGTTCAGCGACTGTGTCAATGGTTCGACAGGTGTTGAAGTGGCAAAAACAGCAACCTGGTGAAGCAAAGAGAGTGATGGATGAAATTCACCACCACAATCTAGAGGTCGAGCAGGGATTTGCGGAAATCTGCGAGCTGGAAGAAAACGACAACACTCCCATTAATTGGGAAGCCTTGGCTACTCAACGCGGTGAACAGGTGCATATCTGCCTTCTTTTCGTTCTCTCGTAATGGTTTGATAAGCTTACCATTGTGTGTATAGTGGAGTACGACAGACGCTAAGGTTGGGGCCGTTCTTCTGAAACTCAGTGAAGCCTTTTCTTGTTTCCGAGACCTTATGCGGTAAGCTCAACTTAGTTTTAGAAGCTGATGCGATGATAATCTGACACTTTTTGTTCATGACACTATATAGCGAAATGGGAGCTGCAGCTGGAGTCCCTATCGAGCCACCCGAGCAGACTGCTATCCTCGACGCAACGCTAGCGATCCCTGGTGTTCTTCTTGCTGGGGTCCCTGGAGGTACGCTTACATGAGCACTGGTATATTTGAGTTGTGTGAATTCAGCTAACCGGAAGTGTTGATGTTCTCAGCGGGTGGATACGACGCGATTTGTGTGGTGGTGATTCATGAACGTGCTCTTAGCGCAGTTGAAGATTTGTGGGTTCAATGGCCAACAACGCACCCCGATTCCATGTATGTGTATCAAGCATTTGTCTGCATTCATTGTTGCTGACGTGGTGATTATTTTTTGTTGTTGCTTTTAAACCAGTATTTGCCCGCTGCTGTGCGACATCGACCGTGGTCTGGCTGGGGCTTCGTCTGTGAAGTCTGGGCTTCAACTCCACTCCGTTGAGTAGTTTTGAATCACCCAATGTCCTATGACGGTATGGAGTTACCTAGACTAACGCTAGCCTTTAGTGCAGACCGTCGCTAAATGCACGAAAGGAGGAGCCGAATAAACGAAATCTAAACGCCTGTCAGGGGTCACAAGTTGTGACTCCCAAGTCGACAATGTCGAAGCGAAAGTTCCGTGATGATGACGATATTGAGGGCGACAAACAGACAAAATCTTCGCGTAATAAGGAACAAGTTGATCGAGTTAAGCCTTTGGTGCAGGAGCAGCATGGATGCTTCTCAATTCCTGGACTGCGGTTTGCGACTGAGTCATGGGCTGGCATGAAAACAAGCAATGAGGATCGTCAAGTTTCTTCCGCGGAGCTCTTTCCTGGACTAGTGTTTGGAGTTTTTGATGGTCACGGTGGAACCTTTTCAGCAGACTTCCTATCGCGACATCTTGTCAAATCTGTCGCCTCTGTGATACGGCAAAGCATCGGACGAAAAGCGTTCGCTGACTTGGAACGCTCCCATGAGCAATCGAATCAAGAGAAAGCTCGCAGAAATGCTATCATTGAGCAAGTAAAACTACTGCGTCACCAACTTAGAGAGCTGGAAACTCTGAAAGATCCAGATTCCGAGAGTTCAGTTGATGAAATACAAGCTCTGGTCGATCAACTCGCAGATACTATCGCGCAATTAGACAGCGAAGTATTACAAATTAACGCTGAGCAAGCAGTACGCCTGGAAGAGCGACGAAAATGGTGCAAGGAACAGCACAGTCACTTCTTGAAATCCTTCAAAGAGGCCTTCGAACGAATGGATTCCCAGATCTTGCAGAAGAATCCGTCGCAAGATGGTTCTACGGCTCTACTGGTTTGGTTCTTAGCGGACACAGCTGGCTTTAGCGATGAAGAGGACAGTGAAGGATTGACCTTTTACACGGTAAATGTAGGTGACTGCCGTGCTGTTATGTGTCGTGGAGGCCGAGGTGTAGCGCTGACAAGTGACCACAAACCGGATCGTCCCGATGAACAGCAGAGAATTGAAAGAGCTGGTGGCTTTGTGGGAAAGATTGCAGGTTTATCCCGCGTGTATTCCGCAGCTGGTGCTGGTTTGGCCATGGAACGTGAGAAGACGACGTATTTGGCGGTCTCGCGAGCATTTGGCGACCGATCTCTGAAGACTCCGACACCGCTGGTTTCGTGTGAGCCAGAGGTGAAGCGAGTAATTGTAGAACATGACGATTTGTTTCTTGTCCTAGCCTCTGATGGCGTCTGGGACGTCTTGAGCGAGCAAGACGCGGTGGACATTGTTTTACCACACTTCCACAATGCCAAGGCCGCGGCTGATGCGATCGTCAAGGCAGCGTACAAAAAAGGCAGTATTGACAACCTCACAGCTACAGTCGTTCAGTTCGGCTGGAAGTCCGATGCCCAGCTACAACAAGCCCTTGAAAGCAGCAACACGAGCAGAAATGAAGCAGAAGCAGAGGAAGAGGAGATCGACATGTTCAACCTTTAAGTCCAGCTTCCAATAGCGACGCGATCGAGTTCTCCAATGCGATGCTTAGATAGGTTGATATCCTTGTTCGTACGAGGCGATGAGGTTCCGCTGTTGGAGAGTCTGAATTGCAATATTACTCGTGTTTAGACGGTGGCAACACGTTCCGGACGACAGCAACATAGAATACCTCAGCAATCGATGTCATCGCATCGGTGTCATATACTCGAAAGTGTACAGGCGGCAAAGGCTGGCGATCTCTTCGCTTCTGTTTGCTTTGATCCAGTGCAAACTGCTGATCCACGAACACTTCAGCTTCTGCTCAAACCAAATAATAAGCAGGTCAAGTACCAGCAAAGAAAAAATTGACAGGCAACGCCGTACCCACGTGTGGGATGGCGAACCCAGCGTTTACTATCATCGCGTGCAGTTTGGTTGCTGAATGCGGCGGTGGGGCGATGCGTAGCACGCGGTACTTGGTGTCCAGATGTCGATGCAGGAAGCCTACGACGGTCTCGAACTGCGAAAGGTGTGACGTCAGAGGACATCGGATCCAAAGGAACATGCAGATAACAAACGCACTTCCTGCTCGATATTTGCCCCCCGCCGTCCGCGTTCGCCCTCCAGCCGTGATAGGCGATACGTGGCGAACAGGATGGCGACGAGAATCACTGGCATGGATCCATGAAAGCGTTAAACTGGGGTTGATACCATAAGGAATAAGTAAATTCTACTTAAGTTGAGCGTACCTAATGCGTGCTTCCTTAGCGAGTCTAGCATCGCACTAAAAGGTCAGAACCTGACCAGGAGACTTTCAGTGCTCGACGCTCACAATTTCTGAGTCAGAAGATTGCTGCTTGAGATCTTCCTGCCGCATTACAACTGGTGGGACGGCTATACAGAACCAGTGCCGGTCCGTGTTGGCAGACCTCCCACTGGGAGTCCCAGGACATAATTCGCGGCTATATCCAGCCGCATTGTCGACGCCGACCAAGGTCGGGTCCTCGAATGCTCATGTCGAGCCTCGACGCCTTCAGTGCTGGCTGCGCCATCGTGCTCAAAGCGGGTAAACATGAACAGCAACTGTTCCAACCAGGCGCAGATGATACAGCGACTTATCTGGTAGTCTAAAGGACGTAGATACGTAACTTTGCTGTATATTATGCCGTTTCAATGAGGATAGTAGCTACAAGGTTGCTGCTTCTTTTGCCTATGCCTTGTTGGCACTGTCGTCGGTCTTGACCGGTTGGGGACCCACCAAAGCGCAGGTCTTGAGTGCATGTCGGTCCATCAGCATCTGCGCAACGTTCCCGGGTTCTGACGCTGGGGAGTCTGTCTGCGGATTCTGCTGCGCGCGCTGAGCCTGTAAGGCCCAGTCGGCAGAGTCGAAGCGCTGCAAACGCAGACACCGTAGCTGTTCGCGAGCTTCCGCAGTACCAGGCTCCGGTTCTCGCTCTAGTTCGGTGCCGTCCGAAGGCGCGCACTTACCGCACGTGCACCCGGCACACGGGCCAGCAGCAATCTGCGCCATCACGTAGTCGGCCGAATCGAATCGCTGACGGTTGTCGCGGTGACGCTGAATAATAGTGGAGGCCACGGCGTGCGGACAGTCGCCTGTCTGGTGCTGGTGCTCAGCCGAAGATGGTAATGCTTTATCTGTGGAATTGGCCATACTGAAGCTGAACGTTGGATATGTGGAGGACCTGACAAAAGGATGAATGACGTTCGTTAGACGTGCGCCACGCTGTACTGTAAAAGGTCGCGGGGTTGAGTACTCAGGGCCGTGCACAGCCAGTCGACTGGGATCAGCAATGAAGCCGGCGCGCGATGAGCTTCTAGATCCTCAACTAACGGCACGAGGTGAGACGTTCCTCTTCCGCCAAGCTTGACTCGGACCGGACACTAGCGCTGCCGTCGCATGCTCAGACTGCGACGGCAATTGATGAAACCGCTACGATCTTCAATGATTGGCGGCGAGGCCGAGGACGTGATGATCCCCAGCCACGGTTACACTCGGTTTTGAGATTCTGTCTCGGCCGTTGAGTTAGCATTCGATTGAACTGAATGAATGACGGTCGAAGTGGTCGATGCTGCTACGCTGTGGTCACCACAGTGGTGCGCTGGTCATGCATTCAGAAAATCTTGCCATTATATTTCGGCGGTAAGATAACTGTCATGTATGTCTCGTCAATCGGCCCAAAGTTGTCCACGAAGACACATCATTTTTCAATGGTGGTAATTGTGACAATGTAGAGGCCTCTTCTGCATGTAAGCGATGGCTACAGCTTGTCCACGTACGCACCGTCCTCGGTAGACACCTTGACCTTGTTGCCGATCTCGATAAAGAGCGGTACCTTGACTACGGCACCGTTCTCCAACGTCGCGTCCTTGACGCTCAGCGCCGTATCCGCCACACCTTTCGGGGTGGTTTTCTGGAGCGAATAAACGTTACCGAAACGTCACAAATTCAGCCATTCCGAAAGAGACTAGAAGACAAGGTAATATACACTTCTCGTACCGTCACTTCGAGCGTCACGTGCTCGGGCATATTGGCCCAAAGCACATCGCCCTCGATGATCTGCAACGACAGCGTCATGCCTTCTTGCAGGAAGTCCAGCTGCCGACCCGAGAATAGATCACGTTCGATCTCCATCTGCCCATTTATTCAAGAGATTACTCTCGAATCCAGTAGCATCAATGCTAAAGACACAACCTACCTGCTCGAAGGTGCCATTGTGCATGATAACCAAATGATCTCCATTGTAGTACAGGAACTGGAACGGCTCATCGGGACCCAGAGGCGCTTTGTTTACACTCTCAGCGGCGCGAAAGCGGCGGTTCATTTTGGCTCCGGTCTTGATCTCCTTGAGCTCCGCCTGCAGCAGGACACTCGTTTAGTGAGTCTCTTTCTGCATGGATTTTCTACATCCAAACTAGCGATTCAACGCACCTGGACGTAGGCTCCACCCTTACCGGGTTTCACGTGCTGGTTCTTGCCCACGCGGTAGATTTTTCCATCGATCTCGAGCGCCATACCCGTGCGCACTTGGTTCCCTGCATATCATAGTCATTTCTAGGAGTTAGATGTCGATATAAGTATGACGAGAGAGAGCGTTGGGTGGTGGATAGGATCACACCATTGATCGTGGCAAAGCGCACACCGTAGCCACGGGCAGGAGCTGTCGCGCGTGCGATCTGCGTTATAGCTCGCCGCAACATCATGACGTTCAACAAATTGTGGTGGCGCCTCTCGTTGACTTCAAAGCGCTGATTGGCTTAATCAAAATTTCAAGGTTCAATGATTGGATAAAACTTTGTGGATTTTTTATCGTTATTGGAAGTGGATATTTGCAGCTCATTTCTTCAATATCATCTAGAGAGAGCATGTTCCTGTGGCGCGCTCGTCGCCCTGAGGATGCAATCCAGAAGATCATAGAGGAAGCGGTGGCGGCAGATAAAGCTGGGAAATACGCAGAGGCAGTGGAGCTGTATGCGTCGGGCATCGAAAAGATGATGGCGCAGATGGCTCGTACGTTGAAGTGATAAAAATCCCCATTAAACACTGGTTCTGACATTTATCGGAGTGTAGAGCTGCCAAATGAAGAAGCTCAGACGCATATGCGCCAAAAGATTAACGAGTACATGCTACGTGCCGAGCACATCAAGGAATGGATGGCGGAGCAGGCGCGCAAGCAGCAAACACAGGTCGGTCCAGAGAAGAGTATTGGGAAATAGTGCTCGTGAGTTTTTTTTTTACGTATGTTTTACTGCAATGCGCAGAATGCATCGGTGTCGAATACGCAGGGGAACAATGCTCCCACTTCTAGTGGTCGACAGGTTGGAAGACCGCAAACAAACAAAAAGAAGAAAACGGAGAGATTGACATTGCTGTGCTGTTTGTTGTGGATTTTGGCAGCAGAGAACAGGGTACTCGAAGCAGCATGCAGAGCATGCTCATACAATTCTAGATGAAGTGTTGGACCATTCACCTGGAGTGCATTGGACGGATATTGCGGGGCTGGAAATTGCAAAGCAGATTCTGCAGGTTTGGCGACGTGGTGGAACTAAATGTTGAAGTTATACGTAAGACTCACTGATTGTGTTACCGTATGTATAAGTAGGAGGCTGTCATTCTGCCTACATTGCGTCCGGATTTATTCACGGGTTTACGAGCGCCACCACGCGGGGTGTTGCTGTTCGGACCACCAGGCACAGGTAACGAGTGCGTGCATTACGAGCTACACGAAGTGTGAACTGACAGCGCTGTGCTTGTTGATGCATTACTAGGAAAAACTTTACTGGCAAAGGCTGTCGCTACAGAGGCCAAGGCAACCTTCTTTAAGTATGAACTAGTTCGGAGTTGTTGCATGCGTTACTCGAGAAGTACGTCTGTGTTATACTTACGGGTGTTTGCTGCAGTATCTCTGCGTCATCTCTGACTTCCAAGTGGGTGGGTGAAGGCGAGAAACTGGTTCGAGCGCTGTTTGAGATGGCCCGAGAGTTGCAGCCTTCTGTAGTGTTCATGGATGAGATCGACGCCTTGCTGTCGACTAGATCAGCGTCCGAGAACGACGCAAGCAGAAGAATCAAGAACCAGGTACGATACGAAGCATCAGGGCAATAACGCAGCCATCTGACGGACTGGTTGCTGTTGCAGTTTTTCACTGAGCTTGATGGAGCCGCGTCGTCACAAGAGGATCGAATTCTTGTCATGGGAGCAACAAACCTTCCCCAGGAACTCGACGAGGCTATTGTTCGCCGTTTGGAGAAGCGCATTTATGGTACGTCACCTAGAAGAGTGAAAATGGCAGTGCCAATGTCTAACTGGTGCTTCGTTGGCTCTCTGGCAGTGCCTCTCCCGGATGCTTCTTCTCGCGAAGGACTTATTCGGCATTTACTAAGTAGCCAGAAATTCTCTATGTCATCCAGAGATTTCAAACAGATCGTGAAGGCAACAGAAGGATACTCTGGCAGCGATCTCAAAGCTGTATGTAAGGACGCTGCTCTAGGCCCAATTCGCGAGCTTGGAGCGAGAGTAGCAAACGTCAAGGCCGAGGACGTACGAGGAATCAACGCTTCTGACTTTCAGGTGGCGCTCACACGAGTCCGTCCAAGTGTATCCTCAAGAACGATACAGGACCTGGTTGCGTGGAATGAACAGTACGGAGTGTCTGCAGTATGACAAGCGCGATTCGTGAGCTCTATTTCCAAAGTTTATGCCTTCCGCTCGTAGATCATCAAGTACGACTCGGATACGCCGATTAGCTGTGGCATCGTTTCCTGCACGTGCAGATCTTGGATTTCGTACCACTGCTCAGTTGCCTATGACAGATAAATTCACAGTACATCATCAGTTTTTTTGTTGAATTTGCAAACAACAGCTTCTCAAACCACGTACTCTATTCTGGACGTGGACACGATAGCTGCCTTCGGTCAGAGGGTTCGTTTGGAGCGCTGCCTCTTGGCCAGTTGTCACTGGACTGTCGTGGCAGATATTAGCCACCAAGTTGTATCTGTTGAAATAGTGACAACAAGAGTGAGTAAAGATTATTGTGAAGTGTAACGCAGCCAGGATCGGAGCGTACTTGGTGCACGGCAGCGTAACTCGCAAGATCTTTTCGACTAAGTCAGCCTTTTCAACGCAATCCTGGCACCACAAACGACAGAGAGAAACATTTAGACCTCGTACGCTTCAGCCTGAGACATAGAAGCAATAGCACCTCAGTCGACTGATTGTGTTTGCGAAGAAGAGCTCGCAGTTCGGGGATCGATTTTTCGCGAAGCTCCTCCTCGGTTGGCAGATTCTGGTCCAGCTTCAGATAATCCCGCAGTTCCAGATTCTTGACTGGAAAATTAACAATCGTCGGGTTCTTCTCGATGAAGAAGTTGTTTCGCGTGAATCTCTTCACGTGGAAGATCAGGTACGCTGGCAGAGAGTCGATTTGGTACGTCTTTTTCAGTCGGTGAGAGCCTTGAAGCACGTGTGTCACGCGGGATCCATTATACTTCTCGAGCACTGTGAACAGCGGGATCTACTCCACAGCATCAATCAACAGTGTCAGCATAAGCATCGCCTACACAATAGTCCCATTTACTCGGCTCACCTGAGGAATGATATTTCCACCTTGAGAATCTTTGAACAGCGGCGTCGAGGGCAAGTCCAGCGACATCATCCTAAGTTGAGTAAATCAATGCAGTCAGTAGCAACAACAAATAAGCAATAGACGTTCCTATACGTACAAGAACGGTGACACCACAGTGGAGACAGCAGATTCGCGCTCTGTAGGATCTGCCGACGCAGCTTTCGTTTCATCATTCGTGGTTACCTCCACGAAACCCTGAAAGCATTTGTGGATGATGCTGCTCCCCGGTTTGTGTGATCCGCCAAGTCCCTTCAAACACGGCACCCCATATCTCGTAAGTATCTACGATTTAAACACAACATTTAATCCTATAACGTACCCTGTGTAGCTCATTCAACAGCCACGCCAAGAGCTCAACACTCTCGTTCTGCGTTCCAACATGGAACCTCTTCTTGCTGCTCACCGAGATCTCCTGCACCAATTCATGAGGACTAATCTGCGTAAGAGAAAACAATATTTCTACCTCGTCAGCTACCAACCACATTACAAAGCCATTGTAACTACCGCACCGTGTTCTTGAAGTTGTGTGGACTCCACATCTTACGCAGCAGCTCTCCGAATCGTAACACGAGCTTGGACTTGACTTTGCCCATCTTGTTGGCCAGAAAGAAGTCTCGCAGGGGCGGCACGTGAGCCAGCGCCTGCACAACCACATTGATATAATCTGTGTGCTTGAGGTTGTTAAGACCGATGAAACCCGGCAGATACGAGACTCCGAAGGCGTCTTGAGCCAGGATACGGTTCTGATCCAGCTGGGCAATCTGCGTTTCCTCGAAACTCGGACGCAGCGCATCCTGTACGGGCTTGAGCGTGTTGTCTACTACCTCGTAGTTGTCTGGCAGGCAGTAGATGCGGTCCGTTTGCAGGTTAATAAACACGTGATGGCTACTTTGCACCGAGTGCGTGAAGGCGTGGGTATTGCGACCGCGACCCTGGAAGTATTTGCCACATACGAGGCAGGCGTAGACGTTCTGGTCCGACAAGCTGGTGGAGCACACCTTCTCGAAGTCAAAATCCAGCAGCTGATGGTTTATCGTGTCCAGATACGGACATTTACGCCGCTTGGCGCTTGGAGCCAAGGCGTCGCCGTTTTCCGCCTTGCGCTTGGTGGCGGGCATCAGAGTTTTGGGACACCAAATCCAGGACAGAGTTGTGTCCAGGAATTGGTGTCCCTTTTGAATCAACGCAGGATTGGATGAAAAACATGATGGATAACTTCGCAACTTTCACCCAATCGCCCGACAAGAAGCGTCTATGCTGATCACTTTAGAAAAAGCAAGTCTAATCGATCTTCCCATCGTCGCTTCCAAGCTTTGTCGTCGACGCCTTTTGCGGCGTGCAGTACACTATTCGTAGTATTCGCCGCTACTAGCTGCATGATTTTGCATGCCACGACCACCTATAATAGGAACCGTGTTCATCTAGAACTCTTTTTCTCTTTCTTTAAGCTCGCTCCTGCGCGCACGCAGTGACGTCGGAAGCTTTATCCATCATCTCTGTGCCTCTTTGACTTTGCACACTGTGGATGATTTGATCCGGCGACGTCATTGGTCGAGAGGAAGGGGAAATCGCACTTAATCGAGTCTCGGTCCTGCGCGGTTTTGCGGCCAATATGAGCGCTGCTTGGACTCACTCTCCAATCCTCCTCCAAGCAGAAAGTAGTCAGCCGAGATGATGATGCTTCGCCGCTCCGTCGCGCTGGCCCGCACCGCCGCGCCTGCTACGCGCGCCTTCAGCGCCGCCGCCAACGCCTCGGGCGAGGCTAAGTTCGAGTTCGCCATGCCGTTCGAGCTGCACCGTACGTCATCAGCGATCCGATCCACTGTAATTCCCTTCTAATGCAGAGTGATGGTCATTCATTTCACTTTTAGGTCTCGAGGAGGGCCCGGCCAACTTCGCTGTGACCAACCGCGAGGAATTGCTGAGCTACTACGAGCTCATGTACACGATGCGTCGTATGGAGATCACCAACGACAACGAGTACAAGGCCCGCACCATCCGCGGTTTCTGCCACCTGTACGACGGCCAGGAGGCCGTGGCTACCGGTGTGGAGGCTGCTCTGGACCGCAAGGACTCGTGGATCACCTCGTACCGTAACCACTGCATCATGCTTGCCCGTGGTGCTTCGGTCAAGGACATTCTGGCTGAGCTTTTCGGCATGGCGGCCGGTGCTACTGGCGGCAAGGGTGGCTCCATGCATTTCTACAAGAAGGAGACTAACTTCTACGGTGGCCAGGGTATTGTTGGTGCCCAGGTGCCTGTGGGTGCTGGTCTGGCCTTCGCCAGCAAGTACAACCACAAGGGCGACGGCCCCATGCCCTGTGCCATCACCATGTTCGGTGACGGTGCCGCTAACCAGGGTCAGGTGTTCGAGGCTGCCAACATGGCCGCTCTGTGGAAGCTTCCCATCATCTTCTGCATTGAGAACAACCACTACGGCATGGGTACGTCTATTCAGCGTTCGACCAACAACACGGACTACTACACCATGGGTAACAAGATCCCCGGTATCAAGTGCGATGGTAACGACGTGCTCGCCGTGCGTGAGTGCACCAAGTTCCTGAAGAAGTGGTGCGGTGAGGGCAACGGCCCGATCTTCGTCGAGATGAACACGTACCGTTACCACGGTCACTCCATGTCGGACCCTGGTGTGACGTACCGTAACCGTGACGAGATCTCGCAGATGCGTGCGTCGCGTGACCCTATTGAGCTGGTGAAGAAGCGTATGATCGAGTCTGAGTTTGCCACGGCTGACGAAATCAAGGAGCTGGAGAAGAAGGTGCGTGCCGAGGTTGTCAAGGCCACCAAGGAGGCCAAGGCTTCGGGCAAGCCGGACCCGTCTGCTGCCTTCGAGGACGTGTACACGGACGGCAAGGGCAACAACGAGTACCCTCCGTTCATCCGTTTCCCTGACTACGCTAAGAGCCTGTACAACGGCAAGCCCCAGCAGTAAGCGCTGAGCACAGCAAGGAGGAACACATAGCGGCGAGAGGATCACCCCTCTTCAGGTCAAAAGCGCCTCGACAAGCGGTAGAAGCTGCGCTGCGTCGCCTTGTGTTTTTCTCTTTTATTTCGGCTCGCTGCGAGCATGGCGTCGAGTGCGCTGTGCAGTGCATTAGAACCCAGCTGGCATCGAAGCTTAGCTCTAGGAACAGTCTCGTCAGCTTTGCAAATCCATTAATACCGGCTGAATATGTAAAGCCCAACGCGACCACATTTTGCCACAGCCTTGACGCTTTTCATGCTTGAATCTCGCGCGCGTGCCATCATGCCAATCCCCGAAAAAAAATATACGTTGCCGGGCTTTGCTCAGTGTTGTTTACAGCACCACAAGTTGGATGCAAAACTCCACCGTTGCACGTGCCACAAACCAAGCAGAGCTTGTGCGCGAAGATATGTGCCGTCTTGAGAAGCATCCGTAGATGGACACGACACGAATTGGTGGGCTGGCAGATCGTGCGTGTTCCATAGAGTGTAAATAAATAGTAAAGCTGCTCAATTCCCATGTTGAAGCTTCCTACGATACAGTACTAATAATGCAAGTTCACTTGGGTGTGGCTCGTTCGCCTTCGCCACCTCACGCGCGTGTACATGCTTCTGATCCATATACTGACATCTGCACTATCCACTTGCGGCCGCGCATAATTCTTCTACACTACTCGACCAACTAACTAGTTCACGGTCGGCCGCTTGGTTACTTGTTTCTTTTTCATCGCCGTCGTCATATTTCTTCCAACAGATTCAAATGGAAGGCACCTTCACTCGGAGTACAGCACCGCCCCAGCACCTGGAACCGACTCGAAGTCGCTGCCGTGACGGCGATGACGAGGGCGACGACGCACCACTGGACTCTTGCTGTTACCGTTCCGAATCATGGGCGCCATGAACTCGTGTTCCTGTTGTAACGCCACCACACGGTTGTGCGAGAGCTTTCGAGCTTGCTGGGCCAGATTGTTGGCGTAGTTGGCAGCGACGATGATGCTGTTGGCGCGGGCCATCGCCTCGTTAAACTCGAACTTTTCTTCGCAGTTACCAACTACTGAAAGCTCCTGGTTGCTCTCGCAATTGAGCTGGACGCGTGAGCGGCTAGGGCGACACGATGATGTACGTCCGTGCAGTGGTGACAACCTCGTCATCGCGTACGTGGGCGACACGGACGAGCTTGATGTAGTAGACTCGTCGTCTGTGTGGTCATTCTCTTCCGATCCGTCCTCGGGCTGTCGTTCAGCATTGCCCATGCGCATTTGGTGCAGACGGAAGGCTTCAATGGAGATGGCCAGGTCTGCGGGGCTGCCACGGCGCTTGGCTGCAAAGAGAGCCTTGTTGCGCATGACGAGTCCGTCGCTGAAGGAACGGCTCGGGAAGCTGGCCTTCGGTACGCCGATTGATGAGCCTGTACTAGCGCCGTGCCCGTCCTCGGATCCTGAAGAGAACGTTTTGTATTCGATGAGACGGGAGCGAACGGGGTCGAGCAGATTATCGTACGACCGGCGCTTTGGAGTGTCCTCTTTGACTTGTCCACTGGTTGCCGTAAAACTTTGTGCACGCCCAAGAGTTCGCGGTTTCTCGTTGGTGTCCGATAAGAGCTGGTTCGTGCTGGTCGAGCTGGCCGAAGTGAACGACGGAGCTCCCGACAGTTCCGTGCTGGCGGTGTTGCGCGACGTTCGACGCGCTTCAATGACGCACGCTGTGCAGACACGAAGCTGACGCTCGCCGAGCTCGGGCACATGTGTACTGCGAACAGAGCTGCATGAGCTGCAGCACACGTCGCCACACTTGAGGCAGTTGTAGCGGCGGCGACGCACGCAAAACTTCTTGGAACAGATCCGGCAGTGATCCTGCTCACCCATGGGTACTACCTGCTGAGGCAGCACAATCTCCTCGCGACCCACACGGAAGCTCTCAGTGTATTTCAGAATGCCGTTGATGCACTTCTCTACATGCGACTGGATGGCCGAGTTGGCCACCCAGGCGGGCAGGTCGCCGTTCTTGTCGAAGTTGCACGTGTACGTCATACGCAGCTCGCCTGCTCGCTTGGTTGAGTGATACATAAAACCAATGAGCGGCACCAGGTCGCGTGTGTACTTGGGCGACACGGCAAACTTGGAAAACCCGGCGGGGGTGTCGACGGATTCCATGATGCGAAAGGCGGTCATCTGTCCCTGTGCATCCTCGATCATATCGACGTACTCGAGCATGAGTAGATCGCGATCCTTGGCGAACGGACCTGAGCTCTTAAAGGCGGCCCACTTGAGACCAACGTAGCGGTAGGGATTGGTCGGGGTGGGCTCTACGATGTTTTGCACCACCGCACCATCAAGGAAGTCCGAGGACAGCATCCCCATCATCCGCTTGAACGATGCAGTGGTCGGCGTGATGAGCGACGCAGCGACGTCTTCGATGTCACAGGCGAACTTGCACACTGCGTGGACGTTACAGGGCACGTTGGTGGCGGCATTAGTGGTGTCGGCGCGGAAGAGCGAGATCCCATGCTTCTCGTGGACCAGCGTCCAAGGAATTCCACCCAGCAGATCTGTGGCTTCCAGGAGGCTTTCAATCATACGCTTGGCCACCGTCGTGAGGCGTTCACGATCCTTAACGCACATGTTCTCGGTCTCATCAGTCGGATCGGCGTCACTATCGTCGGTCCCGTCCGATCCGTGCGAGGATCCGAAGCTGGAGAGCGAGCGAGGAGTCAACGGAGTCCCCGCAAGAGGCGACCCAATCGACGCGCTGTAATCTGTCATGGTTTGTGTCTATTTGATCGAGCACTGATAAATTGTCTACTAGATTGTACTTAAAAGCAGACGGCGAGGCGGTGCATGTAGTGTTTCTTTGCGTCCGAGGCGTTCGCGCGGAGGTTCAAATGCGAAACTGAGCGAATTTCGGCCTCTAACCTCTGGCGTTTCTTGTCGAACGTAACAGCCCAGATCGAGTCGCGAGTCGTCTATACTCTATTTAGGACGAACGGCTAGTATGCAAAACTTCTCTTCTATTTTGTGACTGTCGTACCCCAAGCGCTGGCCCAGAGGTTGATCAAACGCAAGTTTCCGCCCTCGAAATCCGATGAATATTATCCAGCGTTGCTGAAAATGTGTATTATACGTGGACGCTTGAGCCAACACCTCGACACCGAGACAGCCCATGGCGACAATGACCACTGCTGATTTCGAACGTCTCGGGGTTGGCCCCAGGTCAACTCAAGCGAGCTCTGAACGCTACCAACGCGCCACAACGGAGCATTCCGACCAGGTGGTTCATGCCAACGTCCAGTAGAGCACCGCCGCATATGATTGGTCGATGCACTTCAATTTGCGCTGTTCAGTGCCCACTCACAAAAGATAACGACCCGGACACTTTGGAAGGATAGAAAATAGTCGTCAGAATTGGCACGGCAATACGTAACCGAATCGAGGACGGAAATCCGATCAGGGCCTTTAGACGTTTTATTGGTTCATGAGACCAACGAGCGCGAGCCTATGCAACATTGTAGTCGAGAACCGAGGACGCCGCCCTCACCGCCAAAGGTGCGTCAGGTGAACTGCCAGCGAGCGCGGCGACGGAGATTTTCTGTAATGGCTTGGTAGGCCACGAACTAGGGTCCGTTTCGGGGGTATTGAAGGGTAGGATAATCTCTTGATCTTCTTCTTTCCCAGGAAATCCGAGGGTTCCATGAAGGGCGTTGGGTAGACGTGCCGCTTCTGATGTTCGGCGCCTTCAAGGCGAACTATGCTAGCATGCATGACGCCATTGCTTTAGCCCTGACGAAGGCGCTTACGTGCCGCTTTTGTGTTCAGCTGCGCGACTAGAGGTGGTCACTAACAGCGACCTCGTCTCCAGGAACTGAGTCAGCTCGTGATGAATCCGCTTCAACCGATTGCATCAATAGTTTTGATTGATTCAATACTACTTAAACGCATGCCTATGTAAACTGCAGTATCAATAAGCGCTTGAGATCCATGCTGTTACTCTGCTAGTAGTGTTGTCAGGAGAGTCTTCCCAGCTGGTGAGTCTTCCGAGCTTACGTTTTGCTCTTCGGATCAGTCCAGCGAATTCTAGCGACAACGGGAGAACAACGCAGTCGCCGCCGATGTTGGTGCTTTGGCCCAATTCATCGACGCGAACTCCAACGGTGGAAAATGACGTCCATGGTGAGACAGAAATGCTGTAGTTTACACTCCTAGCCAAGAACAGCTCCTGATCACCCCCGTTACGTTGAAAGTTTAAGGAACAACCTCGTTTCATGCCGCGGAAGCTCACTGACAAAGTAACATACTTTGTCTACAGTTTTATTTGGTAATTTCTAAGCAGACAATACAAATTACTTCACATGGCTGATGGTTTCCATACTTCTGAATCGGGTGACTCCGACCGTCCGTTGATTTACGGCTGAAGATCCCCCGACCTTTGACACGCTTCAACCCAATGCTGCGAGGTACGCTTCAAGTTGATCGTAAGAAGCTGCTGCGGAGAATGCTGTTGCACCTGCTAGCATCGCTGTTGTTGTGGTGCATCGCTCCTTTGTCTGCGTCGGTTCAAGGCCAAGTCCTTTCGCGTGCAGGATGCGCGTGCCAACCTACAGTCTTGACGGGCACAGACTCGCCTGTTATTTGCTACCACACAAACTTCACTTTCGGGTGTGCGGTGGACCCGTCCGATTCCTGCGCTGATGGCGTCTTGGATCGGTCATGGGATCTCTGCAATGGTAAGCTTGGCATCGATTTGTAAAGTGTTTGGTTGGATATGATAGCGTTTCTGTCAACCTTTTAGTCGTCGATTTGTATCTCGTTACCGATCGAAGTTCTTCAACTACGTCGACTGGAACACTGCATGTAACTTTATATGGTGAGGACCAAGTTGTGCTCACGACGACAGAATTGTCGAGTGAAATCCTTCGGAAGAAGATTTCCCAGCTTACGCTCCCGTTGGATAATCAAGCTGAAGTCAAAACTATCAAGGTAAATGAGAAAAAAATGGTGATTTTTGCACCTAACTGATTGTTGTTTTGACAAGATTGAGGCTACAGATAGGATATCTCTTCGTATGTTTGAGGTGCAGACTATGGTGAATGACTTGCCGCCTACGATTTTTTCACCTCAAGCACCTGGATCAATCTCGTTCGTGACAAACGAAGACACTGCGAGTACTGGGATCCTGTCGCTGTGGTTTGTACCGGTAACAGAGTTGTTAAATGGTAAGTAGTTTTCAAATGCACGAGGGGTTGATCAACTAACAGCTGTTATACTAGGTGCTCCACTAAGTCAATGCTGGTTTGATTCGGTGGGACGTTGCGGGTATCATGCCGACCTTCAAAGGAGCTCTGACCTGCTTTTTCTAGCGGAGGAAGGGATTGAGCCGATTATGGCAGCAATATCGACCACTTTGCCATCACCTCGACGTTTGTCTGAACCTGAGAACCATCTCAATGCAATATCTGATGGGTACCAAGATTTTTTTATCCTGAAAAGCGATGACGGTATAACTGTCTTGGTGAACGAATGTGTGGAGGTTCGACTCGAAGATATGCTTGAGGAAATCAGACACTGTCAAGGAGAAAGTGAAGCGTTTGATTTGGTTTTAGTCGAAGTAAGATGGAGCACTACAAGTGCGTTTGAATATTCGCGAATTAGTGGCGCTTCATCAAGTGAACGAGTAGAGGAGGGGGAGTCGGTGATGCGCTGGAGAATACGCCGCCGTGATGCGTTGATAACGATTTTTATCAAGCCTGATTATGCTGGTGAAAGCGATTTTATAGTCATTGTTGGCATCGAGGTGGAAGGAAATGTGCTATTATACTCCAAGAAGTTTTTCGTGACCATCCAGAGCAATCCTCAACTACATAATCGAGATTCCAAGAACAACGAATATACACAAAATTCTCGTCGGTTGGAAGATTTGGATACGCCAAACTCCGATGCGATCGTTGTGGAGTTACTACCATTGGTTCTTGACTTGCAAGACGACGAGCCTATTCGTCTCTTAGCTTCGGACCTTCTACCAAACGTTGCAGGAGCAAGCTCTACATTTTGTGAGACGAGCTTTACGATCTTCTCGGTAGTAAACGCCATCGGCACACTGGAAACACAATCGAAAGGTGTCCAATACGTAGCTGCCATTCACAATCCAGTTGTCAGGTATCTTTGCCATGAAATATTGCTGATCAAGCTGCTGCCCAATCTTAAGGCCGTCCGCGGTGAGATACGCCTCGTGATGACAAATGCCGATGACACCGTGCTAGCTGTAGTTAGATTTCCTTTCAGCTGGACCGTGATTCCTCACGTTGCTTTATTAACCCCAACGCAGGTTCTCCTGGGTGCTCACAATACTGTCACCGGGGAGGTTATGGAGCTGATTTTAAATTACTCAGAAGATTTTACCAACTCTAGTGTGGAAATCATCATCGCGAACTGCTCTTCTTTCAGTATTCTACCGGTGGGTTCTGCACATGCAACGACGGAAGATTGCAGTTTTCTTCTGAAAGACGCTGGTTCTAGCGCATCTTTTAGTGGAGTGACAATGAAGGGAAACCAAGATCAAGCCTCTCGAGTCGCTGTGGAAGTGGCTATAACTCAAATTGTGCGAGGTGTTGACAATACTTTATGGACAATTAGTGAATCCAGCCTTATTTCATATAATCTCCATTTTTGTGAAGTCAAGGAGCAGAATAGGGGACCGCTTGTCATACGCAAGGGGAAGAAAACGGATATTCTTCTTTCTTCTCTCGCTTTCGGGGTTCTCGGTGGCAGTTTGCTGGACTTGCAGCTTTTAAAAAGTATCTCCTTCGTTCTGGATAATACGCTGCTACCTAGAGTAGGTAGCTTCTTTGTCGACGATATACCTTTTTACCATGTCGAGTCCTACAATTCTACGGCCTCATTTATCATGCTGAACGCTGGAAATGGCGCTAGATATTCGTTCACCCCATACCAGTATGGACCCATTCTTGTCGATGTGATCGTGGAGTGGAATAATGTTGGAAATACCGATTCTGGATGTTTCTTCGTGCAAAATTTTGTCATTTCGGTGCTGCGTTCGCTTTCTCAGCCTTTGTTTACTACCCCGTACTCTTTCAGCCGAAAAGTACTTCAAGGGTCAACAGCTCAAATTACAATACCGACAATGGCCACAACGAATCCTGAAATTGAATACATTTCTCTTGCTGTTGCTGTGAACATAACGGATAATGACATTATCATCACACGAGATGGTATCCAGCACTATCCTTCGCCAGACGATCAGCGCTACTTTTTCCTCGTCCAGCACGATGGCGTTATGGATTCTGCAAAGCGGGTTATCCTTTCTATCACTCCGAGCAGTAACTTCTCCGGAATTTTGCAGTTTGCCATTAGTGTCTCTGCGATCGGCTTTGTAACTAATGTGGTCCCTTTTCAAGATCTTAGTGTCGAGTCCTCAACAATTCATGAAGTAGAAATCGAATGGATATTGGAAGATGAACCACTGGAAAGACCCGTCACTGCTGGTGAGGCTATTTACCGAAGCCTCCCAACACAACTCCTGGGTAATGCCACACTTTCTTTTGGGTATCGAATGACTTCAGGTGCGAAGAAACTTTTTTTACTTACTACTACTGACCCATCAAATCGTGCTAACGACATTTTTTTTTAATAGAATTGACGAGTATCAGAACGGACGTGGTGTTGAATTCAACAGAGATTCGACAACTGTGGTCTAGCAATTCGATTTCCGTTAGTCGGAACGAGTGGAACTATGTCGACGCATTTATTGATCTTTCGTATGCAACGAATGCTGAAATTATATTTCGTGGATTTGTTCCGGAGGAAAATGCAGTATACTTGAAGGCAATCTCGATCCAAGACTTTATACAAGAGGGGAAAGTTGGGGAGATTGAATTTTTTCGAGCTACAGGCGGTATGATCTACATCGAGGTCAACACAGGAAAGTCTATCCATGATCCCGTTCTTCTACGTGCTTATGTGAAACGTGCTGGAAGTACTGAATCACCAGCACTACGCTTCGCAGGTAATATTTTAACTTTATTGTATATTTGTTTTCATATTCTAATGATTTTGATGCACTACCAAAGGTGACGGCCTTCAGTATCGTGGCTGTGCGGCTACCACGACAATGTATCCATGTACGGATAGTTCGGATCGAATATTATTTTCGAGTCTGAGCCAGTGCAGAACGTTGTGCAACTCTGTCGAGACCCAGCTTCGTTTTACATCCGAATCGATTGTGCGCAGTGCGCAAATGATTTTGTTTTCGACCAGTGAAGCGTTCACGATCGAATTTTGGGTGTATGTGGAAAATTTAAGTTCAAGTTCCAGTGGTGAACAACTTTTGCTGCTTTATGGTTCACAGGATGGAAGTTTAAGCATTTCTCTAAACAAGTATCTGCTGATATCACGCTGCCAAAACCAGCTTCGTGTTCCCCACGGAATTTCACTTCAGGCCTGGACTCATCTATCGGTTGTATTCAGTGGAAGCACTGAGGTGACTGTCTTGCTGAACGGAGTCGAAATCGCTACTGGCCGCCTTAGCAAGGAAAACTGCAATATTCCGACATATGCCTATCTTCAACTCGGACGAGGTGCATGCTCAGAGATCTAGTACGTAGGCTGTGTTTTCTAACATTGTGATGTATATATACTTTCTTCAGACACCATGAACATTCGACCGGAGACCAGTGTCTTACAAGGTGCAATGGATGAGGTACAGCATCCAGCCTTGTGCTATCTACACACGAATTGATTACTCATACTTCGATGCTTTTTGATAGATTCGCATTTGGAGAACAGCACGCGAGTCGGTGGACGTGTATGCTTCGTACCAGAAGAATGTCGATCACTTTGATTTGCTCCTTGTCTTTCATTTCAATTCTGCACACAAGACGAACTGGTACTCGTCTGGAGCTGCAGGGATCGCAAATAACGTTGACTTCATTGTGCAAAATGTGCGTGCAATCAACTCTCGACAAATTCACAATTATGGAATTAGTGGGGACGGAAAATGCTTCTACACGCTGTCCGAGTTCACCATCGACGACGACTTAGACGCCGACATTTGCGATAAATATTGTGACGATGGAAGTGGGAGAACGTGCGGATCAAACGCAACCGGTGATGTGTCGAGCGCTTATGGAAACGGTCCCATTGGTGTTGGTGGACTCTCTTCGCTTACAGATTATGAAATATCCGTTGAGTTTGAGACTGACGAGGGCAACGGGTATGAGATCGCAAAGACGCTAATCGCTCGTACATCGAATGTGACAGTGCCCGGAAAAGTGGAGTATGTCAATGTTGCGGAGCTCTCTGATCAGCAACTAGAAATCTATTGGAGCCCAGTGAATGATGATGGAGGGTCTGAAATTTTGAAGTATGTGGTCTTTCTGAACGGCATACACGTAGCGAACACCACAGCTGGAGACACACTATCGGTCGCTTTAAGTATTGTTAAAATTCCAAGGAGTTGTAATGTAACTGTACAGGCAGCAAACACACAAGGTGTGGGGCCTCCGAGCAATTCACTCACCTTAGTAAGTGTGTACAGCGAGCCTGTACCACAAGTACCACAATGTATTAGTATATCATCTCGATCTGGTGGGAGCGTGGAGCTAGTTTTAGATGATACAACACGCACGGCTGTCGAGGAATTGTCATCGGTGCTTGTAATCGAGCAACGCGCGGATTCGTTTACCTCGTTCACGACGTCATTTTATCGAGTCAATGGATCGGTAGCAACGGTTTACAAGCTTCGTCACAGCACGGCTTACGTATTACGGCTTGGAATTATCAGCAAAAGTGGAATTAAGAGTGGCTTTAGCGTTCCTATTTCAGCTAGAACGGGAAATAGGACGAATCCAAGCAAGACACCATTGCCAATGGCAGCTGGCACTACAGGTATAACTCTGTCGTATTGTCGTTCTTTTTCACATCTCATATTTTCCTGTGTGTGGCCACTTCAGGAGGAGCAATCAAACTAGAGCTGGAGGAACCACTCGATACGGGTAATGCATTTACAGTTATCCGGTTATTATCTGGTCTAAATAATGTTATGTGTCATGATCAGGCGGGATTCCAATTGCACAATACAATGTTTTTATTCTTCACGATGGCTCATTTGAAAAGCTGACGAGTATTATGGCATCGAGAACAAGTGGAAATACTACAATTACATTGACGCGGGACAGAAACGAGAATCCACTGCTCCCACTTACGACGTACACGTTCAAAGTAATGGCGTTGCAAACCAATATGGTCTGCGATACATTGACGGGAGAAGAATGGGAGAGTGACCTTGTGAACGTGACAACAGTTGACGCTGCTGTCCCAGCTCCACCATCGCGCCCTGTTCTGTTGCTAGCGTCAATGTGTACTGCGTTGGTCACTGTTACACTCCCGGCTGACTTGGGTGGTGCCAATGTTACTGGCATCACTATTGGAATCTACTTATCTACAGGGGCTTTGCATAAAAGTTTTTCTGTAACGTTATCCCTGGGTGAGATCACAATTCGGAATCTGCTAGCCTATACAACCTACGCTGTTAAAGCCGCTTTAAACACTACAATCGGCGACTCGGAGTTTGGAGAAGCACTAACATTTACGACGAAAGATCCAGGCCCACCAGGACAACTAACGGTGCCTGAAGTAACTGATATTGGTTCGAGTTCATTGGTTGTGAGGTGGAAAGAACCACAGGACACTGGAGGGGGCGCAATTTCAGGTAAGCTTTTCAGTATTCACTACTTGAGAGGAAAACTGTAGAATTTTAACGTTTGACTCGTTCTGGATTTAGGGTATTTACTTTATCAGCGTGCCATTGTGGTAACTGGAACTCAAGAGCTCATTTTCAATGGATCAACTGATAACAAGACCTCATATCTCGTGGGACGCCTTCTCGCCAATACTAACTACATATTTTCAGTTGTTCCGATCAACCAGTACGGGTTGGCCGGTATGGACGATGAAAATGTCGTGTATGCGGCGACACTTAACCAAGAATTGCCATTTCCCCCGACTAATGTCAATCAAAGCGAGGTGGATGCTGGATACGTGGACTTGTCGTTTACTGAACCATTCTACACCGGTGGCTTTCCTATTAAGTCTCTTCGATACACAGCACATCTTCAATCTTTTCTATCATGCTTTAATGGCATCGGTTGTTCAACATGTTCCCACGCCGTGAACTCTGAAGGTGATATCCAAGCACTTGATCCTATTGCAGATTCATGTAGTATATCAGCGTGCTCTACAAGTGGGAGTTGCTGTTTGGAAAGTGGAGCTAAGTGTGGTATTCATATACTTGCGGAAAAGGCATGTGCTACCAGTAGTGGAGCTGGAATTTGTCGTATCGAAGGGTTAAACTTTACTACAACATATTTAGTAGAATTGGCTACTGTGAACGATAAAGGGAACAGCGCATATTCGAGTGGCATTATGGTCACTACCAGTGAAGCGAGACGCCCAGGTATTCCGCAACTTGAACTCGTTTCAGCTTCGGGTGGCTTAATCAGCTTGATATGGTCACTCCCAGAGGTAAGAACGCTTTCATGCAAGATGAACCTGTAAAGATAGAATCCGCTGACAATGATTACATTTGAATGCTACCAGGATACGGGAGGTGCCTCAATTGTGCGGATGTCGCTAGGTGTAGACGGTGACGAACTGTTTGGCACCAATTCGGCGTTGACATATACTCATTGTGGTGGGCTTCAGAAGAGTACCGATTACATGTACTCTATTGAGATCGAGAATGCAGCTGGATTAACCAATCGAGCAACTAAGTCATTTATGACGACAACAGCGACACCTCCAGGACCGGTGAAGCTATCTGAACCTTACGTGGATGTTCAGAGTCTAACAATACCTGTTACATTGCCTTGTGACGATGGTGGCATTAGTGAAGCGCTTAAACTCTCCTATCGCATCTATGAAGCTAGTGACACGGCTGCAGCTACATCGGGAAGTGCCTTGTGTTGTACTATTATAGTTAGTGGGTTATCCGCAGCAACCGACTATCGAGTAGAAGTTCGAGCCGAGAATTCCGTTCTGTATGGTGACTGGACGGCTTTGGATTTCACAACATTGAACGGGATACCCTCCAGCCCAAACATTTCTCTACTCTTTGCGACCTCTACATCGTTAGAGTTAGCATTGGTCCCGCCAACTCTTACTGGTGGTACACCTGTCTCGATTGAAGTGGATGTAACAAGTGCTGCAACCGACACTGTAGTTTTTCAGGACACGTTAAATTGTCCATTGCTAGAAGGGAAATATAAATGTCCCGATACGTTAACCGTAAGTGGTCTTACTGCAGAACAAGATAATTTTACGTATATTGTGGCCGTCCGGGCTACTGGATTACACGGATCGAGCTCCTGGAAACGTCAGACATACGACGCTGACAATGGAAAAACTGGTACAATTGGTTTTCTTGAAACACTTTATCGTGGAACGGAAGGAGATAGTGTCGAAGTAAAAATTGCGCGTTTATACGGGACCACAACACAAGATGAGAACCATTTTCTGATTGCCGCTGATGAATTTGCTCCCACGTGGACATGCACACCAACATCAAGTGGAGCAACTTGCCTTGCTGACCCACAGGGTGATAACAGAGGTAAATGCCTACTTAACTATCAACCTATTTCTTTTTACTAAATATTTGTGCTTTGTTTCTAGGATATGTCAATTTTGAGATTGGCGAGTATTTGAAAACGATTACTATTACTTTCAATGACTCGCAATACGAAGCTACAGCAGTGTCATTGAATTTAACACTTACTTCCAGTACGTCAAGTAGTCTTAGTAATACGGAGTGTGAAGTCCAGTTTGATGACAATGGTGACGCTGGGAATTTGAGTTTTGAAAGTTCTCAGATGACTGTATACGAATATATGGGGTCGACGGGAGTAGTTATTGTACGCAATGGTGGAGTCAGTGGACAAGTGTCGGTGACACTAATATCAACCATCAGCTCTAGTATTCGTGGAAACCGGCTACAAAAAGCTGTTACTTTCGCGGATGGCGTTGACAATGCGATCGTGCTCGTTAATATCCGTAGCAGTAGCGCATACGGAACAAGAAGATTCGTCTTAACGCTTACGAATCCTACTAATGGCGCTAGCGTGGATAGTAGAAATCTGACTGTGACTGTACTGGATCAGGGAAATTTAAGTCCTCCCGGACGACCTCTACTCGCGCAAGTGTCGTCCACAGGAGGGTGCATTGGATTAGAGCTCGGACTTCCTACATATCTGGGTGGATGGTACATCGGTACGTCCATAATGTGGCATATTCGCGTGGGTACTGGATTCAGCTACACATTCGAGAAAAGCGATTATGTCGTATCATCGATCAGTAGGATTGATGCGTGTGGTCTTGATCTCAACACAAGTTATACAATTAGCGCTGCTCTGCGTACCGATAGCGGGACTAGCGAATCGAGGATCATTGACGGTTTTACTCAAGCACTTTCCACTCCAACTCAAGTTCTAGAACTACTCGCGAGCCCCGTTACCAGTGGATATGCACAATTATCTTGGAAAGCTCCGTTTGATACAGGCGGTATGCCGATCACTACCTACGAGATTACGGTTTTGAACAGGGCGACAAACGAACAACGGATTATTCAAGTGCCTGGGTCAAATCTCACTGTGGCGATAAGTTTCTTATTAGCGTCTACAGGATACATGTTTACTGTTCAAGCCGTGAATGAAGGTGGATTGGTTGGACCGGATACGCGTACCAGCGTGTGGACTGATAGTGGCTCGTTACCGAAGCAACCTCCTGTCCCCGAATTGATTTCTGCTACTGGAGGAGCTTTACGTGTCCGTGTACTTGCTCCTGTCGATTGTGGTGGTTCCTTTCTGATGCATTACGCGGTTAACGTTGCCCGGCATACTGGAGGAATTTTAGCGTATCGTCAATATGAGTTGGGTACAGTTCAAAGCCCCTCGTACGACAGTAACGTCGCGAATATCTCTATCTATGGCCTGCTATCGAATTCAGAATATTTTATTACGGTGTCCGTGGAGAATACTCAGGTATGCTATTTGTTCTGCTGATGCATGTGTACAAATTTTAACACAATTCCTTTCATTTTAGGGTTGGAGCTGGATAAGTGAAGAGAAAATTTACAAGACTACTGGCCCGACACCAGTTAGTGGAATACCAGCACCAATAGTAGCTCTAGAGGACCCAGGGGAGCTGACATTACAGTGGAATTCTCCTTTAGATTCTGGCGGACTCGGTATTGTGGGGTACAGTATACAGTCACGCCACAAATATCCAAATGGATCCTGGTCGGTTCCAGAAATTGTTTACGATGTACGGACATCGTTAGTTCGAACGGCGTTGATCATGAATATTGTGGCAAATACCGAGTATGTGTTTAGCGTCTCTGGTTACAATTTTCGAACATTGTGTCGCCCCGATGAAAACATCACACCAAGCGACGAACTTCATATCACGACCCAGAGCGCCTCTGTTCCTTCACAGCCGAAAAACTTTCGAATGGTTCACGTTACGGGCGGATCGATTACATTAGTTTGGGATCCTCCTCGGTCATCAGGAGGCGAAGCTTTATTGTGGTATCTCATCAAAGGTGGCGTTAAATACAGCCAACTTGAAGCCATGGCAAATGTCAGCGCTACTATGAATTCTCTCACGCTCTATGGCTTTGATGCGTCAACCTTCTATGAGTTTGCGATTGCTGGAGAAAACTCTCGAGGTTGTGGGTTATACTCTCCGTCTCTGTATGTTAGTACGGGTTCTGTAAGTGCTCCAGGCCCTCCAAAGTCCTTGCATCAAATACCAGTTGCTTCCGGTGGGATAATCAGACTAGCGTGGGAAGCCCCAAAGGACTCAGGAGGGGTCAAAATACAGCAGTACAACATACTTCGCGACGATAACGTGGTTAGTGTGGTGATAGCTGTCAATGGGACGACAACATTTCAAGATCAAAACAACATCCTTGCTAACAAGGACTATAATTATTCGGTGTTTGCTTCAAACGATGTTGCAACTAGCACAAATCCAGCAACGATCACAGCTCACAGTGGAGTCGCGTCTGTACCTGGAGCCCCATCGGCTACTATCGAAGCTGGCAGTGGATTTATAAGGCTGGAGCTGATACCTTCCCCGGATTCAGGTGGTATTCCGTTTCTTCTCTTTGATTTAACGGTAATGCGGGGATCAGTACCTGTGGATTCCTACAACACTACGCGCTCCGTGTTCACTGTTACGGGGCTCTATGCGGATGTACTCTATGCCGTTCTTATCCAGACTGTGAACGCGAGAGGGAAAAGTAAGACGACTACATTAACTACCAGCACAACTGCTGCTACAATTCCAGATAAAATGTCACTACCGAGATTGGTAAATGTGACTGGAGGCCGTTTACAATTTGAAGTTTTGCCACCGCCGAATTTTGGTGGAAGAGGCGTTGTGGAGTACAGGTTTTACGTGAATGAAACGCTGAATGAAGCGATAAGGAACTCGGAAACTGCGTACGACGTAGTGGGTTTAACGGCACTTACATTTTACGCAGTTGCTGTATCAGCAACGAATGTTGTTGGAGAAGGTGAGCAGAGCGATTCACTAATTGTTACGACAGACACGGTTACCGCACCTGGACAAGTTTGGAGTTTAAAACTGATCTCGAAGACGTATGAAGCAATTGAAGTGGAGTGGATGATGCCCTACGACACAGGCGGAAATGTCACTGCTGTCCAGTTTGATGTTGAGATTAACTCCAGTACAAGTGATAGAAATCTGGTCATCAGCACAACGAACAGGGTGGCACTATCGGGACTTGAGCCTGCGACACTGTACACTATTCAAGTTCGTGCGTTTAATTTAATTGGAGAGGGACCATGGTGTACCAGTATTTCTGTGACGACTGATCCAGTATCACCTGGAGTAATTGATTTTGAAAAAGACGCAGTTGACGTTCTCGAAGATGCTGGGTCAATCACTCTTACGCTAATTCGTTCTATGGGTGGCTATATGCCCGCAACATGTACGTTTACTACAGTAGATGGAACGGCAATTGCCGGTGATCATTACGTTCAGACCAGCGGCCAAGTCAATTTTAGTCGAGGTACGAATTCTCAGCAGATAACTATTCCTATTATCGATAATGGCATGACCAACGACCCAGACCAATACTTTTCTGTATCAATCGAGGAGTATGACAATGAATCTGGTGCTATTGGAGAGATCTCGTGGGTGAATGTTACCATAACTGACGACGGAGACGCTGGTGTTGTAGCGTTTGAGCAAGCTCTTTATACTGTTTCTGAATCCGTGTCGACGCTTACTGTAACTATTGTGAGATCAGGGAAATTCAGCGGTAGCGGAACCTTCGCGATAAAACCAGTTGACGCAGATAATGGTGCCATTGAAGGCGTTGACTTCAAAATCCCAAGCGAATTGGTTATTCTTTCCGACCAAGAGACTCAATCATCGTTCAATATTACAATTATTAACGATTCAACCTATCAGGAAAGGAAATTATTCCGACTAAAGCTTGACGTGGTAAGTGGACGGGTTGCTATTGCTGATCCTGCTGCTTTTCTTACGATTGAGATTTTAGATGATGGAGATGCGTCACCACCGGGTCTACCCACTAGTGTTCAAGTAATTGCTGTTTCTGGTGGAATGATTAACTTGTTGTGGGTAGCTCCAGAGTATCTAGGAGCTAAAAATCCTGGAGAATTGTCGTATTCTGTTCGTGTGGTGGAAGTGCAAAGTGGATCGACATGGGAGCAGTCCATAAAAGCTTTGAATTTGTTGATTCCTCAGCTGAAATCTCGAGCTGCGTACGGATTCTCGGTTGCGGCAAAAACTGCTTTCTTTCTGGGCGAATACACATCCTCCGTGCCTACCCTAATGAAAGAACCTACGCCTCCGTCGAGTCCCATGGGCGTTCGGGTATTATCACAAACAGGAGGGATGGTTACATTGTCGTGGTCTCCTCCATTTGACTCGGGAGGCGTTGATATTACCAGCTATCGGGTGAATATTAGCACCAGCGCTGATAACAAAACTTTAGGAAACTACATCACGGTCAGAAACACCATATCGATTGGTAAGCTCGATCCAGTTACAAACTACTGTGCTACGGTTGAATCCATTAACAGCTATCAATATGTTGGAGAAGCGAGTACGACTGTTTCATTTACTACGACCAGTGCTTCTATGCCCGGAAAGCCTACATCTTTAGTGATTACAAAGGCAACTGGAGGTGCGTTGCTTGTGGAGATGGCTCCCCCACTGGATACTGGAGGCGCTCCTATTTTGTATTTCACGTTATTCATGACATCCGCGCAGTATCCGACTGTCTTCCGTCAAGTATACCAAGGTGCTACATCATCATTTTACGCAACACGACTATTGTATTCTACAACATACAAGTTTCAGTACAAGGTGACCACCAAAGTGGTAAGTCTCTCGATGTAGTTTTAGACTTTCCTAGTAGTATTTAACTTCATGTCTTCTAATTGTAGGGCATGAGTGAATTGAGTGATATATTTGTTGCGGCGACAAAGTTCTTGACACTTCCAGATGAAGCGCAAAACCTTGCAATAGTGTCTCGAACAGGAGGATCCGTCACACTGTCCTGGACGCAGCCTGTGGATTTTGGTGGAACTGACATTACAGCGTACGATGTGGCTTTTTTCTTGGGATATGAAGTCAAGTCTCAATTCCAACAAAGAATATCAGGAGTCAGTGTGAATGCAACGCTAGTTACTGCAAAAGTTGTGGGGCTACAGGCTAATTCCACGTATGGATTTTCCGTCTCGGGGGTCAACGATGTAAGCGTTTGTGAAGATCCATCCGCTATACGCAGTCGTACAATCCTGTATAGCCGTACAAATCCAGCAGTCTCTTTACCAGACACGCCTCGCGGTTTATCAGTGGTCTTCGTAACGTCTGGGACTCAAACGATACAATGGATAGCAAGTGAAGACGCTGGAGGTGGCTCATTTGTCGCGTATATCCTGTATTCGGACACTGATACTGTCCTGTATAACGGTACAAGCACAACGTTTACACGTGGGTCACTGGTAAAGAGCACAGTTTACGGTTATACAGTGTGTGCGTGGAATTCTGCTGGGTCTGGTGTACAGAGCTCGCGTATATTTGCACGTACGAAAACCGATATTGTTGCTCCCAGTCAACCGCTTAACCTAGCTCAAACTAGTCATAGTGGTGGCTCAATCGGGTTAACGTGGCAAACCCCTTTGGACAGCGGCGGAGACACAATTTCAGGATACAAATTGTTTCGTAACGGTACTTGGAGAGCAGATATTGTAGCTGATAGTGCAACCATGACGTATCTAGATGATCAGGGGCTAGCGGCTCTACAATACTACGTGTATACCATACGTGCGACGAATTCGATTGGCCTTGGTGCTGTAAGTGAAGTTCTTATTGCTAGTACAGCTAGTGCTACCGTTCCAAGTGCACCAACCCGACTTGATGTTTTTGCCAAGGGTGGAAACCTCAGTGCAACCTGGTCACCTGCTGCAAATTCAGGTGGTATGCCACTGACTTTTTTCCGTCTGGTGGTGAAAGATGATACCGGTGTTGTGTTGGATGAAGTTACAGCCACAACACAAGTATCCTATATTACGTATGGCATAAGAGCAAACACAACGTACACTGTTCTGTTGACTTCTGGAAATGAGATTGGTGAAAGTTCTGCTACAACACAAACCATCATGAACGGAGCTGCCGTTCGGCCAGCCACTCCACAAGTACCGGAACAGCATCTTGAGATGACTGGATTAGCACGTTGGATGATCGTACTGAAGTTGTATTTCCCGATTGATAATGGCGGAGCACCACTTAAGGGCCTAAACTTGTATCAAAATGGGTCGAGAATTCGAACAGTAGATGCTACTAGTCAAACTGAACCGGGAGACACAACGATACGCTTCACTTTGGTTGAAATAGGACCTTTACATGCTGGTTTTACGTATCATTTCTCGACTTCCGCTCTTTCTTCGGTGGAGACAATTGGAGAAGGTGGTCGTAGTGATACAGTTAAAATAGTCATGGATCCAGCAAATCTTCCTTCTGCACCAAATAATCTTCGGGTGGTGCTGCGAACGGCATTTTCAGTATTCTTTGAGTGGGACAAATCAGATGATAAGGGAGGCGACGATGTCGTCTATGAGATCGCTTTTAATAATTTAAACACGTCGGAACCCGGTCAAGTGGAGACGAACACTACAGCAGTCGAGGTCTCAAAACTAATTCCAGGGAATGACTATTTGTTTCGAGTTCGGGCTCGAAACTCGGCGGGAACGAGTGATTGGACATCAGATCTACCAGCTCAAACAGATGTTACACAACGCGGTGTTATCACGTACAAACTGGCATCATCGACTGTGTTTGAAAATGTTACGAGTGTGACTGTACAATTGCTTCGTGTAAACGGGTCTTCAAGTACAATTACTTGCAAGTATTCCAATACTTCAGGCACTGCTATCTATGGTCGAGACTATAGTTTACCACCAGATTCTGAACACTCTTTCACGTTTGTTGGGGAGCTCATAGAAAAGAGCTTTGACGTTCAAATCATCAATAATGATATCTATGAGCCGATCCCGCGGACAATAGGTTTAACACTCACTGACACAACCCCGGATCGCTCCGACCCATTCCCGCCTACACCTATAATAGTCATAATTGTGGACGACGGGGATGCCGGAATGATCAGCTTTGTAGTGACTGAGGTGACCGTCTTGGAGAATGCTCGAATTGTAAGTCTACCATTGCAGCGAGAATACGGAAAGAGTACAGCAGTGAGCGTCCAAATACTTGTGTATACTGGTCTGACCAGCACAACTCAACCTGACATTGGGTTTCGATTACCATCCACAACTGTGGACTTCGTTGATGGTCAGACGTCTTCATCTGCGAGTATTGTGATCAAAGACAACGACGTATATGATTTCCCGTACTTGTGCTTCTACCTTACGCTAGAAATTGCAGCAGGCGCGGCCAGAATAGGGACAAATAACGTGATTAAAGTGGTGGTACAGGATGACGGTGATCGTTCTATGCCAGGAGCGATGAAAGCTCCAACACTTGACAAAGCGACAGGAGGGATGTTGAGATTGAAGTGGGAACCTCCAGTGAATGTTGGCGGACAAAACGTCTGGATTACTGGATACAACGTTTCTATTCGTACTGTCAAAGGTACAACTTGGATAATTACGCCTACTAATGCTACGGTAATACCGTTCGGAGGGTTAAATGTGCTTACGGAATACAACTTCAGCATTTCAGCTATCAACAGCATTGGACGTGGAGTCGACAGTTCAAGTGTCACCTTTTCTACGACAAAATTAACAGCACCAGGACCACCTGAACATATTGCATTACTGAATCGCACGGGTGGCTTACTCACAGTCGCGGTTGCTCCTCCCAGTGACTCTGGGGGAGCGTCTATAACAGGATACGTGGTACATCTGGCGGAACAAGGCAGTGATTTCAAGGTATGATGAAAAACTATTGCTGTGTCGAAGGCCCCATCATATTGATTCTTTTATTTGTGTAGATGGCTTATAATGGCACTGGACATCTATCATCGATAATACCAGTTAGCGTGACCAAGCCCAATACTGCATACATCATACGTGCTCAGGCATGTTTGACAGATATCAACTGGTACTCGGTGGGAGTATTCATATCTGACAGTTTGTTCGTGCTACAGGCCATTAATGTTGTCGGAGTTGGTGAAATGTCTGAGCCCTTTTCGTTTGAAAGTGGACCACTATCACGTCCTGGACCACCTCGACTCCCCGCTATACAATCATCGCGGACAGGTGGAGCAATAAAGTTGGACCTCTTGCCCCCGCTCGACACAGGTACGTTCACAATAATTTTAGGTACGCACGAACTAAAATTTAGCGTACTGGCAGGTGGACATGAAAATATTTCGTACATGATTTACTACCGCAAACAAGGTCTTCGGGAGAGATTTCGTCAAGCTTACTACGTAGCGAATGGCTTGAAGATCACGATTTTCCGTTTGGGGGCGGATACTACCTACGATATGGTAGCGGTATCACACCTTGAAGACTCTGCAAACGTAATTACTTGGGGTAGAATTTCTGTCTCCGATTCTCGGATCACTCTATCGGACAATGTGGCGACTGAGATTGTAAAGAGCGGGTACTTCGACTTTGGCGTATGTGCTGCTTTTATCTATTTTACAATTTATTTTATTAAGTACACTATGGCTAACTATCGCACGAATTGCTTGACAGGGTTATTTGTTCGAGGTTGACACAACACAAGTCCAATCTAACAACACCATCGCGTATTCAGCGTCATTAAGCACCGACTTTGGAGCTATAGCCGCCTCAAGTCTGCAAAATGGTGACGAATACGACGTTTTTGTGCGTGGGCCCTACAGCGATGTGGCGAACTATACTACAGTGGCTCCTACCCGACCTGGAATGCCACCAGAACCCGATCTCGACTATGCCACAGGTGGTGCACTTCATATACGCATTTCCTGGCCAGATGATACTGGTACGTACGTGCAGAAATTCGTTGTACCGTTTTGAAATTAATACTTTTGCTTGATCAGGTGGAATCCCTATCACCGGTTACGAGTTTTACATCAATAACAAAACGGTATAGTATTTGCTGAAATGACATTACGTTTTTTATTCTCAAAACTAACATTTCTTTGACCCTTAGGTGGAAGGAACGCTATACCATTACATATCGCAAGGTGACTTCGAACTTAAAGTTACTGTGGAGATTGGTGGATTGGTACCCGAAAACAATTACAGCTTCTACTATATCCCACTGAACGACGCATCAGCTTGTGCTGGGGATGACGAAGATATTCCAAAGCAAGTCATATATTCGACAGATGTGGCCTCGAAGCCAATGCCAATTCAGCTGATACGATCAACAGGTGCCACCGGTGGCGGGATTCACGTGGAAGTAAAACCTCCGAATGACAGGGGAAGTGATCAGAATCTGACTTACCAGATATACATGAGTCTAAGTAGGTCGATCCCAATTTGGACGCGGATATACAACGACAAGGACATCAGCTATTGGCAAACAAAGCTGCAGAAAGTAACGGAATATTTGTTCATGGCTTCTTGCATGAACAAAGTTGGATACTCTAGTAACTCGTCTATTTATCCACTACGAACAACCCTCATCTCGGCGCCAGGTCCTCCGGGCGACTTGACACTGATAAACGCGTCGGGTGGTATGATAAAATTTTCGTGGAAAAGCCCCGATGATGACGGTGGAAGCCCGATCACTTACTACTCTATTCACGCACAGGATACGAGTGGGAATCCTGAACTGGCATTAGAGTCACTTCTACCTGAAATAAGCTTCGGTGGACTACTAGCAAATCGTGTGTACGAATTCAAGGTGTTTGCTGGAAACAGTTTGGGAATAGGATCCGACGCTAGCGTCAAAAGATTTTCAACTACTTTACCTACGCCACCCTCACTGCCAGGCGATCCGGTTGTCCTTCAATCGTCTGGGGGTTCTGCTACGTTGGCAATACAAGTCCCAAATGATACTGGAGGTGTTAACATTGACGACTTGGTGTGTACTGTGTACGAGAACGGGTTTAAAGTCCCAGTAGATGCAGTACGTCGACTACAGAATATGCCGATTACCGTCTCAAGAACTCGACGCTTGGCAACGATGGAAGTGGCTGCAGATGGTGGAGGTTTTATCTATTTACAAGCTGGAGGACTTCTCCCGTCTACCGCTTATTCATTCACAATCCAAATATCAAATGATGTCGGAGTTAGTGACACCACTAACGGTATTGCCACAGCGACGTCGGTGGCTACTGTTCCAGGTGCTCCTGATCCACCAACTATTACCTTAGCTACTGGTGGTGCACTTACTCTATCTTGGACAGATCCAGTTGACACGGGTGGAGTCCCCTTAACATCCTACCATCTTAGTATGGCAAGACTGGGCGAGGAAGTTGGGAGCTGCGAGGGCATGATTCGTACTTGCACGGTTGGAGATCTACTTTCAATTACGGACTACACAGTGACAATATTCGCTTACAATACTGTCGGTGTGTCACCACCTAGCGAAGAGGTTACGTTCACTACTGAGCCGACTTCACTTCCACTAGCTCCTCAAGATGTTCACGTCGCCGAGCTGTCGAATACTTCCGTCACTATTCACTGGGATCCATGCATCGACTTTGGAGGAGGCTACGTTGACACCTATCGATTGAATATCGTACAGATATCAAACCCCAGCGTTACATTTTCTGGTATCACCCCAGTTGATGAACAGATCCTAACTATCGAGAATTTAACACCCCAGACTGAATACACTGCCACGGTGGTACGTATTTGTCAAGATATTTGTTTAATCCAGCTTGCTAACTGATGTTACGGTATGTTACAGAGAGCAGTCACTGGTGCTGGAGAATCAGGAGAAGCGAGCAAGATTATCTTCTTCAGGACACCGCTCTATGCCCATCAGCCTTCACCGCCACAAGTTGGCTGCCGTAAGAACAATATTTCACTGAGAATACTACTTTTTTGTAACTTTGGCTGTACTGTTAATTTTTTGTAGATTCACGCAAAGTGGCTAACGTTTTTTGGGAGGCTGAAGATGATGCGGTCAGCTATCGTCTTTTCCGTGATGGAGAATTCTACGTTGACAATGGAGAAGATATTACGTACGAGGATGAAATTGTGTTGGGCAAAACGTACATTTATCAAGTCCAAGTCATCAGATTTGACGGTTCTATCAGCGCTCTAAGTGAAACCACAACATTTACTGCCATGACCCCAGTATCAAGTGGCTTCGACTGCGTGGGTAACAAAGGTCACATTCACTGGCACGACTATAAAAACTTGGATAGCGAGACATGGACAATCACGCCGCAGAATCAAGCCGGTGTTTTGATCAGTGTAAGTTAACATTCTCTGTTTGGATGCCTTACGCGATGGTGCAAAGTTAACATTGTTGTGTTATACTTTTGCTAGTTCTCTCTGTTTTGGCTTGAATGTGACCACGACAGCTTAACTATTAGTGTGACAAAAGGAGGCGTGACGAAGCAGCTGTGGAAGGGGGGATGCCATCGAAAAGGAGACTTTGTCGTATCAACTGGACCTGGTCTGGATAGTGTGGCACTGTCGTTCACATCGGATGATAGCGTGGCTTACGAAGGGATGGCTCTACATTATGAGACCGTCGATGCATCGGATGCAGTAGAATCTGTTTCAGCTCCGTGTCCACTGTCACCCACTGGATTCTGTTCACTGAATGGAGCTTGTCGAAAAGGTACCTGCTCGTGCTTCAGCGGTTTTATTGGAGAAAGCTGCACCAATGCAGTTATTTGCCCTGAAGACCTAACAACGTGTACATCAACGACGTGTGATCCAGTTTGCCTCCATTCGCAGAATGATGTGATTGTAGTAAGTGAGAATGGGGATGATACTCAAGGAACAGGCGAGCTAATGGATACTTCTACAAGTGGAACAGACCCAAAAGCTGTCAAATCGCTCCGTCGGGCTCTAGAACTCGCGACGTCCGGACAAACTATTTTACTTTATCCTGGTATCTACACTGGTGTTGACAATTGTGGAGTTACTGTATCAACCGCTAGTCTTCTCATTCGAGGGCTGAGAGGCCCGATTCCGACAATTGTTGATTGCAAGAACATTCTCCGTGGATTAATTATTATAAGTGATGCTGCGCCGAACAGACTGGAAGGATTTAGAATACAAAATACTTTAGCAAGCACCGATGGTGGCGCAATTAAAGTCACAGATACAGCAGTTGAGATGAAGAATATGGTCATCACGAATGCGAACTCTCGCCAGAATGGAGGGGCCATTTACGCTTATCAGTCTCAGCTGACGTTTACTAACGTGGAGATCACAAAGTGTTCTGCTGCTAAAGGTGGTGCTATTTTCTTGGATAACTCGGACCTAATTCTTGATGACTCGATCATCACGCTTTCTTCAGCAAGTGAAGGTGGTGGTATATACGCGCAGAATTCAGTTTCGGTTAGTGGTGACAAGGACAGTAACTTGTGGCAAAACCACGCTTCTATTAACGGTGGTGGACTCTGCATCTCTGGATCCTTCACGGGTACAACGCTGAACGTTCTCGAGAATACAGCATTGGTCGGAGCTGGATTAACAGCTACAAGTGGAAGCTCAACACTTTCGGGCATGAAAGTCATTGGCAATCGTGCTACCAACCATGGCGGGGGAATTGCGATGCTAAACTCGGCAAATCTGGTGCTTCAGAACTCGACGATACAAACGAACCATGCCGATCGCAATGGCGGGGGAGTGTATATCCTTTCCAACGGCTCATTTGAGAATACGTTGGCATCGGAGATTTCCAACTGTACAGCAGGTAAGTAGATGAAGTTATCGTATCTCTGTTTGATGAGTAATATTTTTATTTTCCTTTGTGATTAGCTAGTGGAGGAGGATTTTACACTGGTGATTGGTCTCGTCCAACGGTGCGAAACCTTCGTGTGGTTTCTTCGTCAGCTACAACATCGGGGGGTTGTGCGGCGTTTTCTTGCAGTTCGGCAACTGTAACAAATCCTTCCTTCGAAAAATGTGATGCAGCTTTAGGCGGTGGAGTATATGTTGATGCTGGAAGTAAAGTGTTGCTACTGCAAGCTTCGATTGCCGAATGTACCGCTACAAATGGTGCTGGGATGTACATCGGCTCAAGCTCAGTCATTGGAGGTAGTGATGTATCATCAGTTGTTCGCGATAGCCATGCAGATTCTGCGGCAGGTGGTGTGTATATTACTGGGTTCCATAGCTCAATTGAGTTCTTCGATGTTCAAAATTGCTCAGCATCTATTGGAGGTGGAGTGGTTGCACAAGAAGCTTCGTCAGCGACGATGAAATCGGTTCAAGTTGTCAATAATAAGGCAACTACAAGCGGTGGTGGGCTGCATGCTCAAAACTCTACAATCCAGGTAGAACCTGTGACAGTCAGCAGCAACCGTGCTGTGGTTGGTGGCGGAGTCTATGCTATCGATTCAAGTCTTTCGGGTATCATTACAGTGGACCAGAATAATGGAGAACGGGGCGGTGGAGTTGCTACATCCGGTATCTCGTTATTGGAAGGAGCTACCATCTCTGCGAATACAGCATCGCAAAGGGGGGGTGGGGTGTCTGTTGAAACTGGTCTTTTTTCATTAAGGTCTACAATTATCCAGTCGTGTTCGGTTCCACAAGGTGTCGGTGGGGGTATTTCGATTGTGGATGCTGATGTCAAGCACTACGCATTGAAAATTGAGAGCTGTGCATCAATTCGTGGCGGAGGAATTTATGTCAATTCATCATCATTCTACCAATACCCGACTGAGGAGAGTACTGGTACGAGTCTGAATGCAGCGTCCTTGACTAAAAATCGAGCAGTTGAATACGGAGGGAGTGTTTTCGTTGATGGAGAAGAAACGACCGTCAGCGACTTGGTGATTACTGAGAGTCATGCACCATTTGGGGGTGGTTTAGCAGCTCAGGATGCGACGTCATGTGTCGTGTTGAACGCGGATATTTCCTACTCGTCAGCATCGACTTCGGGGGGCGGTTTATTATTTGGATCGGGTACAAGTTGCGTGATTCGGGACTCCTGGGTAATGAATAATCAAGCTAGAGAATCGGGTGGTGGGGTAATGATTTTTGAGGCCACTCTGTATCACTCAAATGTTGATATCTCCAATAACGTCGCTCCAACAGCCGGTGGCGTATACCTGAATAGCGTGCTATACTCAGCAAGTCTTTTATCTTGGGATGATGGCGCCACTCAACGATCACGTATTGATGCGAATATTATCGAACCGATAGGCGGCAACGGGGCAAATGTTGTGATGAATTGTACAAGCAATTGTACTCTGTCAGGGTGTGTAATTTCTGGTGCCAATTTACAATTCGGGCAAGGAGCTGGTGTATTTGTTTTGGGTCGTGGCAACGCTGTGATCTCAAACTCTCTTGTTGCTAACAACTCGGCGATTAAAGGTGGTGGGATTGCTGTTAGCGATGCGGAAAAGACGGTTCTGGAAAATGTGGGCTTTATTGGAAATATTGCAACCGACAGTGGTGGTGGATTATGGGCAGAAAGCTCGGCATTTTTGCCAGAAGTGGACCTCATGAGCTGCGTATTTTACAACAACTCTGCAAAAACTAGTGGCGGGGCTATTTCTCTGTATGGAGTCTACTTGTACAGCTCAGTTTTACTGGTGATGGAGAACCATGCCGGTAACAGTGAGTCCGGTATAGGTGGCGGACTTTTTTCAGATAAACGAGTTAACCCCGATAGACCCTCTAGTGTCATGGCAGACACGTGGCTCTTCTTGTCAAATGACGCACCGGTCGGAGGTTCCATTGCTGGAGTTAAATCGTCCGAGATCAGTCTACTTGACGCCAATATCACTCGCGATACAGGTAGATTTTTCACAGGTACGTGGCCACACTTGTTCAGCAAACTTGTCGGCTTCGAGCATGTTGAAGGCCGTGCACAGAACAAGGTCGAAGTTCAAAAAGGAGACCTTGTCTATCTCTCAGATAGAGACTCTGTTTTAGAGCTGCTCTCATCATTCGCAACGCAAGGATTGGCAGCCGCTGGAGGAGGAATTTACATCAACGCAAATGCTTTTTTCTATAGTCAAGACTCCGAAATCAGCTCCAACACGGCAAACGAACGTGGAGGTAGCGTATGTCTATCGAACAGCGCCCAAGCCTATTTCACCTCTGTTAAAGTGATACTCAGCGGTAAGTTTGTATGAAATAATTGGTGTGTGATTTTATTTAACGCTTTTTTTTTCCAGATTCTAAAACGTCTGGTGGTGGGATCTATGTGGAGTCATCATCGAAGCTTTACGCTGAAAACTCCAATATATCTGACAACTTTGCGGATGACTCGGGAGGGGGAATCTTCATCGACACAGGAGACAAAAATGCTGTCACTCTGAATGGATCCTTCATAGAACGCAACTTCGCTCATGGAGAAGGATGTGGTAAGAAATTTCTTACCTCTCTTAAAAATATGTTGACTATTAACTGTTTGTTATGATTATTTATCCCCAGGTGTTTTTGTTGGACGAGAGGCGATTTTGGCTGGGTATAAATCTCAGTTCATTGGAAATGGAGGCGTGACTACAAGCGGTAAAAATGAAGGTGGTGGGGCGATTTCTTGTGTTGATGGCATTGTAAAGCTCACAAGCTGTACTTTCATAAACAACACTGCGTTAGTTGGTGGGGCAATTCACTTTGATCGCGGAGGCTCAGCAGCGATCATGAGCTCCGTGTTCGAAGGGAATACTGCAGATCAAAACGGAGGGGCGATTGCAACAAGCGTGAAGGCGAAAGTCACGATTGCGTTGCAAACTTTATTTGAAAATAACGTGGCACATTTTGGTGGAGCAATGGCAGTATCTGGCACATCCACTTTTATTTTAACATCGGTCGATTTCCGCAGTAACCGAGCCAGTGAAGTTGGTGGAGCTCTCTTTATTACTGACCAAGCTAAAGTTACCATGAAAGCGGGGGAATTAGCTGGCAATATCGCTGTGTTTGGAGGCGCCCTTTATTCCGATGATCATTCCTCGACCAGTGTATCAGACGCCAAGTTTATCAGGAACTCTGCGTTCACTCGTGGTGGCGCGATATATTACCAATCGATTGATAATGCCACGATTACAAGAATCACATGCAAAGAAAACACTGCACCTAGCGGAGGATGTATCTTTTGGGTATCAGAGGATGAAGATCTTACTCCTACGTACCCGTGTACGTCCTGCACGATGGAATTTAACGAAGTGTACGATATTGCGACAAATACACGTGATGTCCAAGTGATGTGGTGGCCTGAAAATATGACTAGTGGCGTGCCTATACTGGAGCCTCCTGATGAGGAATCAATTCAGGCCATCAAAACACGGAACGAAAGCCTAGAGAGGAAAATGCATGTATGGCCTCGACTTAAGGCCGTGGATCTTTATGGGCAGGTTGAAGTGCTCGACAATCAGACAGAATGCATGGTGAGTGACGGTTTGTGTAGTGAGCAAACGGAGCGATTGTTGTTTGAGCCGCGGGCTTTAATCCGGTCTGCCGGTGGCGTCATTTCCTATCGTGGGGCCAGTTTTACAGCAGCCAACCGAACTCCCGAAGAAGGAATCTATACGACCGATATCTCGTGTACACTGCCAAGATCTGAAAGGAGATTTTTCGTCCAGAGCGTGAAGCTTCTGCCGTGTCAGCCAGGATATTCAGTCAATCAAGGGTAATCTGCAGATATTCGAGGAGACTGGTAACGAATGTGGCACTGATATTTATTCGTTGGTTATGTTTACAGTGTATGTGAACGCTGTCCAAAAAATATGTACAGGTATTATCTTAGTTTTCAGTGGATATTGCACTCGACTATTTGATACTAACTTTCGTATTTGTTACTGCAGTTTGGATGGTTTAAAGTGCTTCGACTGTCCTTCCGGCGCCAAGTGTAATATGAACGTACGCCGTGGGACGGACACGATTGCCGAAGAACTCGGTACGGTATCCCCACGGACAGAGGAAGGGTATTATCTTTTTTCAGCCCCAGCAACAAAGCAAGAATCTAGCTGCAATAAACCATCCCTGTGGAAGGACGAAGATCCATGCAAGAACCTTGCGTTGGAGAACCCAACGAAGAACCTCTCAGATATGATCTATGAGTGCTCCAATCTCAACGATTTCAACGTATACTGGTCGGCAGATCGTCTGTTCTCCTGCTTATCTGGGAAATCTTTCTACACCTGCGACGTACGTTTGGAAACTTATTGAAGCTGGAGCTAGGTTTTGACATTTGTACTTGGCTAATGCGTGTATAGGTTGAAGGCGCGTGCCAAGCCGATGTTACGGTTCAAATGCTCGCACATGCAGCAGCAGTGAGTACTGTGTCCTGTACCAGCGGGTACGACTTGGCTATTTGTTCCGTGTGTGCCGATGGATACAAGCGGGCCAGGGATAATTCTTGTTTGCGTAAGTATCTCAGCTCTCAAGTTATCAGCATGATGCCCCTCGTTTAATGGTTTTTGATTGTGCTGTGTAGCTTGCAATGAGGCAAACGCTGAGGTTCGAGCCTCAATTAAATGGCAGAACTTCGTTATACCTGTGCTGCTGGTTCTTGCACTTATCGGAGGAGTGTTCAGTGTTAGATTTTATCTACGTGATCTCACAGAAATTGGTCTGCTGGCGAAAGCTGAAGCTGATAGAAGACTCAAAGCCCCTGATTCCAAGAAGGGTGGCCATATCGCGTTACGTGCGGGTGCAAAGTATCGGCGACAATCTATGGCAGTGGTGGGGCGAGTGGATCAAGTGAAGAACAAGATCACTGCATTTTTCAAGACATATCAGAGTCGAAATGTGAAAATGGTATTTGGGGTGGATGTTAGTCCTCCACCGAGGACGTTCCCAGTAAACCCCAGCAAGTTCAAGATTTTCATTGGGTTCTTCCAGATATTTGGCAACTTCCAAAGCTCTTTCGTCGTCAAGTGGTCATCAAATGTTCAAGATGTTATGAACATTTCTCAAAAGTTCAATCTGGTATGAAGCTCGCAAGCCTCTTGCTGATTTCTCATTTACCGAATAACACGCACGTGTTTTATGAGTAGGATTTGGTGGCCATCGCTGGAATCGACTGTGTGGTTACGAAAAATTTCTACTTTGAATTCACGTGAGTTGCAACCCGTTTGTCATGTGTTCATCGTAGTCTGACTTGTTATTTTTGTTTTACGTCAGGGTGACCGTGATCCTGGTTGTACTCGCCCTTACTGTCATCACCGCGTACTTCTACGCCGGAATGCGCAGTTATCGCTCCAAACTGCAGCTAATTCCTCGTAACTGTCTGCGCTGCGGGCTTCCGGTTCTGGAAAGTGAAGTGATTCAAAACGACGACGAGAGTTTCAATCCTCTTCGATTGCTACGCAGTTGGTGGCGGACGTATAATTTCTATAAGCGGTCTGGCTCATCTAGTCCAGTGGAAGCTGCAAAGGGTGGTCCAGAGAATGAAGGCACGGCTGCTCTCTCAACTCTCAAAGAGACTCGAGCCCTGAAGCGTAAATTCGGTATGTCGCAAGTCCGAACCCCGTATTTGGGTTTGTTTCGGTCAGTGCATGCCAAATGTCCTACAAAACGACATAAACTCTCCGGTGCGATGCTTGATCGTACAATTCGTAGTAATCTTCGCGTCTGGCAAGCTCGCGTGAAGCTACGCATGAATTATCTGACGTATCGAAACAAGTGTCTGAAGCTCTACTGCTGGATAGCTCTCTTCCTGTACCCGTCCGTTTCCAAGACTATACTGACAGTTTACAACTGCCAGGAGGTTGGTGACGTATTTTATCTCGTGGCAGATCGACGTTTGATCTGCTACAATGCACAATGGGCGGTGTTTGGCATGATTGCGACGATCGGAGTCATTGTTTGGGTAGTGGGAATACCATTCTTCTTCGGACTTTTGATCTGGCTAGCTCAGGACCGTGGAGTTGCTGCGCGTATCAAGCTACTGCGTAAGCCTCAGATGCGCATGCAACGGCATAAGTGGCTTAAGGAGGTGGAAGAACAACAGACAGCAGATGGACGGTTTGTTCGAGATATGAAAAACATCGAGGTGCAGGACGAGGAGCTGACGAAGTACATGAAGCGCAAGAACTTGACAGTACGCTACAGCAATCCCGCAAACTTTTAATTTTACTTACAATATTTTTTGTCAATAGGACTCGACGGTGCAAGCGCGGCTCGGTTTTATCTACGCCGAATGTACGCTTTATTGAGTTTCCTTTGGATCGTACACGTAACTAAAATTTGTGATTGTTCTTGCAGATACTCATGACTACTGGTGGTTTGAAGTCGTGGATCTTTCACGGAAGCTTTTCCTCAGTGGTGTGATCGTGTTCGTGGAGAACGGAAGTGTGGAGCAAGTTTTACTGGCACTAGCTGTCTGGTATGTTTGGATTCTATCTGCTAGATCAGAGTAACCCAGTATTGACGTGTCATTTGCATGATACAGTTTGACGACGATGTGGTTCTTGCTATACTTCCAACCGTACGACGGCTACTCGGATAATCTCATCGCGAGTATCACCCAGTTGCAGCTCTTCTTCACGTTGTGGCTCGGAGTTATGATTCGACTGAACGACCTAAACGTTGAGTCGTTGATCAACGTGCAGTTGCTCAGCTTCCTACTTGTAGGAACGTGCATTGCAGTCACAATGTTTGGGATCAGCATGATCATAGGAGAAGGACTCGCTGAGTCACGACGAATATTTGCTGAGACGACAGCACAGCGCAAGAAACAAGTTCAAAAAGAAGTGCGAAAGCGCTGGTTCCAGGCCTACAATTACGCAGCCTACGAAGCTCAAATGCTGCGTTACGGTGGTCAGTTGAGCTTCGATAACGTTAGTGTGCCCGCTATGATGGAAGCCTTCCGTCGTACGAAGCTCAACGAGGAAGAAGACCCCGAATATGCCAGCATGATGCCAAAGATCGAAGAGGGAGACATGGATGAGTCGATTATTGAAAGTCATCCTGAGTATACCACGTCTAGAGTCAATGCAGGCCGATGACCAAGATCTCGACCGAGCAGCCACCGCCGATAGATTCGACAGGGGGCACGGAAGCTGATACTTTAGGGTTTGTGAATCCGTGAATATAGTGTGCATACTTTTAGTGTATGTATGCCCTGTTTTGTTGCTTGAATATTGGCGAAGTTGTGGTCAAGGGGACTGACTCAGCGTTCTTTTACTTCGGCATGGAAGCAGTAACGAGGCCTTATACAGTGTACGATCGTTCATGATTCCACTTCAGCGCCGTGAGTTTGGTTGATTCGACGATGGGCCGCCACCCATTCCATAGTTGCATATCTGGCACTCTTGTGTCCTCCAGTGATATGCCCCATTGATCACGTCGAAGCCAACGGCAAACTCAGCACAATACCGATCGTATAGCGCTTCCCATTCCCCGAATGTCACGATCTCGTATTGGCGAGCTGGGGTGGATCCTAGACTGCATGTCAACATAACAGTAAGTAAGAATGTAATCCTACCTTCAAGCAGATATGACTTACGCTTGGGTGGCCTTGAGCGATTGTTCAAGGGAAAACCCGGACAGGAACATTGATATATAGGGCGGTATAATGGTTTTCTGGTGCGACAAGCACACTAGCTCGGCATTTAGCACTGGACCGGGGCTATCGTCTCCCTGACTGCGAACAAATTTCCTCCATTTGTTCAACCATTTCTTGGGCACCAAGAAGTACGTCGCGTACTTGCTCCTTCCACTCACCGACCAGTGCTGTGCCAATTGCTGTCTGCTTCCCACTGTGTCCACAGGCGAGAACAGTCCCTTAGGGAACCCGTTCTTCCTCTGTAGTAGCTCCAACATCTCCTCGGATCCTGCAATCTCCGCGTCGAATCTCACTCTCTTTTTCTCCTCAGCCTCCAGCTCCCTCGTCTCTTGCTCCAGTACACACATGGTACAATCACAGCACGATCTCAAGCTGAAACCTCTGAGCTCCGGTGCGTAGACAGCGATCTCTCTGAACACGTCTCCACTGATAATAGCGCGACGACTGCGACCAACGCACTGAGTAGCCGGTAACAGTGCGTCGTGAGCGCACACGATCATGACTCCGGCCTCGCTGAGTGTCGAATTAGCTGCAAGGTTTAGTTTCTCGGATGCAACACTGTCCCTCTTTTTAGCTGCATTTTGCCGCCGCTGCTGTCTTTTAGTACGGCGGAACTGCTGTAAATACTGCTCGAAACCCTGGCAGCGCTTCCTGAAGGCGCCAAGCCACGCACGGCTCACGACGACGCAGTTGGGAGAGCATGAGGCGGCGTCTTCGAATGACCAGGTAGATGAGCGCGCCAGAAGCTCCTTGATGCGTAGTACTTCGGTACCGCGTAAAACAGCAAGCGATCGTGGCCAATGGGATGATGAGGCATCTAAAAAGCTCGCGACGGATCCAAAACGATGATTGATGACGCGCTCGAGCGCTGATTGGACGCATGGAGTGGATGGAGACAGCGACCGGCAGGTGGAGACGACCTGGAGCACGTCCCGAGCGGAAAGCAGCGAGAAGAGGTGCGCCAAGAGGCCCTCGGAGAGTTGCTCCATGGTCTGTTGGCTTCGTGCAAATTGTGACGGCCTTCACAAAAGGAATCGTCCCCTGAAATAAGGCTTATCTCTCTGGACTATTTTTTCCGGGGTCCCGCATCTTGGTTTCAGTAAGATTCTAATATAAAATCCCATACATCGACGCGGCCCCGCGTCGGTTTGTGATGCGTTACTTTGCGATCGACCTAAAGTAGCGCAAAGTACCCAAAGAATGGCACCCTACCCATTCTTTGTCTAGGGTACCCATAATTTCGGGATGAATACCATCGCAATGTTCAGGTCTCGACGGTATTTTACACAATAATATTTTAATAAATATATTTTTGCAAGAAAAATTGAAATGATGAATTTATTTTAAAATACAAACAATTTTTTTTAAAATAGCGATACTGTTAGTCGATTTGACAGATCCAACTGTACTACGAATGAAACCGATTTGCAAAATAACGACTTGTGGGTTTCAACACGTTTTTTATACTTCGGAAGATATTAGAGCCTTTCAAACCCCGGATTTTGCAAAAAAACTTGTAGTCATTTTCACGTAGCTCGGCGATCTATTTCTGGCGCGCCTCTTCGGACGAGTTTTTCGGCTCCGAAAACCCGTGCCCAGCACCCTCGCTACGGGATAAGCGCACGGACTTTTTGCGCGGGGTGCATAAGTTGCTGTCTGGACATGCCTGGCGAGTCGAAGACGATACAAGGCCCATGCGCCTACTACATCGATGAAAAGAAGCACTGTGAAGCAGCTGATGATGAAGTGCTGGTCGCAGAAGAGTGCTCAGCTCCGGGCTGCGGGAACTACGTTCACCATTTCTGCTCGAACAGTGTGCTCGATGGTGATTTAGGTTCCAGAGCATGCTCGCCTGCTTGTACCAGCATCGTTTCTGGTGCCATTGCTCCCGATGGCAACTCCGCTCCATCAGAAACAAGCGTTGTGGCTACCAAGGGGCGCGTCAAAGAAGAAGAAGCGTCGGTCTGATCTCCGGAAGCACCTCCAAGGGCTACAAGGGCTTGGCAACTGAGCCAGCCACGCCGAGATCAACCTCTAGTACTAGCGCGCCAAGTGTTGAGGAAACAACACGCTATGGCAAGCCTGGATACAGTCGTGCTGCAGCTGCCAAGTTCAAGCCATCGAATAACAGTCGATCTGCTGGCAAGCGCTCGCGATCGAACTCTACTGCTGATGTGTCTACTGACGCTGCCGCTACTCAAACCTCAAGCGCCCCCGTAGCGCAGGCCAAGGTGGTATCAAAGCCAAACTTACGTGCCATGACTTTGCTGGTGTTGATGTGAAAAGTTTAAGTTCGTGGGATGAGTCTCCTGACGAGGGCAGCAAGAAGTCTGATGACGACGACGAAAACGAGGACAAGGAGAACGAGATCGCATCAAAAGCTGACAAGAAGAGGCGAAGGAAGTTCTTCTTTGACCAGAAGGCAGATCTGGCGCTCCTTAAAGAGATGCTTGCCAACGAGCCTTTTGCAGGAGGCCACGGCAAAATTGGAGCTCGCTATCAACTCGTGGCAGATAATCTGAGCGCTCACCTCAAATTAGACCAGAAGTTAAGCAAGAGAACAGTGCAAGAGCGGTTTGCACTGCTCCTGGATGAGTTTAAACAAAACGATCAGGCCTACCGCAAGAAGACATGAGTAGCGAAAAACTACGAGGAGCACAAGCAATTGCTACTAGATCTATCGGACCGAATTAGAGACGTGAAGGCGATGAAAACCGACGAGAAGCAGAAAAAGAAAGACAAGGAGGATCGATTGCAGACATAGGGTGCGATTCTGAGGGAAATGGCTGTCAAGCGTCGATCGGAACGAGATGCAGCTACTGAGGAGTCGAAGCAGGATTCATCGAGTGCACCCAGTACCGAAAGCGCGATCGTTTCGGGTTCGACAAGAGACAGTTCCTCGGGTAATTATTCGGGGACTTCGAATCGCAAAAACAGCAAGACAGCTAAAGCTGCTCAAGACGGATCACTGGCAGCATACTTGGAGCAGCAGGTAATGAGTCACCACGAAGACAACGCGCTACTAGAGCAACAACTGAAGCTAATGAAGCAAAAAGGTGAGGAGGAAGCGCTTCGCTGGGACCGCGAGTTCGCTTTCAAAAGCAAGAAGCTTGAGTTGGCTGAAAGGAAATAGAACGACGAAGTCGAGCTACGACGCCAGGAAATGCAGATTCGGCGCCAAGAAATTGCACTATTAAGGCTGCAATTACAGGCTTCTCAAAATCAAGTTGGCAACAGGGGTGCCGATGAGCGTTTTCCAGCTAGCAACTAATTGCTGCTACTTCTAGCCGGCGTCTCGAGTGCTGTCGGCTGGGAATCTCAGAGTTTTATTGGTGTGCGTGGGTGAGTTTCTCCTGATATTCTACGACGCAGAAAAGCCAACGAATTAATTATT